TGCAATTCATCATGGATTCATGCAATTAATAACTTTACTCAATCATGGTATGGTAACGTCAGTGTTAGCAGCCAGCTTTATAGTGCTAGTTAACGTTAGCTAACTTGGTAGTAAGCTTCCTTTTAAACAATCAGATTTGACTCATTCCTTAATGTCACACAAAATGATGCTAATATTGCTATGATATGTGTTGAAAATTGCTTATGAGTGTATTAACACATTGAAAAAGTTATTAAGTTTTGGCCAATAAAAACTCTTCTAGTGTTGTTCTAATATTGGGTCTCTTTAAAATGAAATGAAAGAGTATGGTCTAGACCTGCTCTATGTGTAAAGTGCCTTGAGATGACTGTTGTTGTGATTTGGCGCTCTATAAATAAAGATTGATTGATTGATTGATATATTGGTGAATGTTTTTCATTCAGTAATCTTATATGCAGGATAAAAGCAGCTGATCTGGGACCACACTTAAAGTCTGCCAGTGACCCATCCATGATATAGTCTACTCTTTCTACTATGACACACTGAAAGCTATGAATGAATGTATTAATATGAAGAATATTTGAACTGTATGTTTAATGAAAACATGGTATTGATGATTTATGATGATGTTTTTTTTGTTCACAGAGGAAACATCCATCAAAGATGAAAGTCTACACTGACCTCGTGGCAGCACGGAGGCGGACCCTGCCACCAGAAAAAACCCCAAGCAAGCAAAAATATCTGACTTGGTGGCAGTGAGTGGAACCGAACGTGTGCCACAAGAAAATTGACAAGGTTCTGATTAACTTCATTTCTTCACCTCACACACAGTTTGGAGAAGAGGAGTCTCCACTTCTTCAGCATAGAAGCAAAGCAGTGTCCTGCTGTGCACAGGGCCAGCAGCAAAACATGTTTGCCACCTTTAAGAAGGCTTAGTGCAATATCATACCTGCAACAAAATAATGAGCCTGTCTACATGAGTGTAGAGAAGTTTTGTAAGTCTGATATATTCTGTGTGTTTCTGTGTACTTGTCACTAACACAGGTTTGGCCTATGTGAAGCATCACATTGAGCACATGACAGAGGATGAGATGGAGCACGTCGGCCACTTTCTTCTCATCATCAAAAAGCTCTCTCTCAAACTCAACACTGGCCTGCCTGCTTCTGCTGCTTGTGAGCGCCTCTTCAGCTGTGCTGGACTGCCGTTCACTGCAAACCCAGCTAGAATGAACTCTACTAACTTTGAAAACCAGCTCCTGCTCAAACTAAACAGCAAGTTCATTGAGTAATTAAAATGAGGAACTGAAGCAGAGCAGGAGGAGAAAGAAACGGAGTAAAAAGTGCTTCGAACAATCCGTCAAAAATCCTAGAAGAAGAAAGAATTGACTTTTACTTTGAGATGGTTCCTCCAGAGATCTGTGATCTTTAGACTTGAGGTTCGACTGAGTGTTTCTGGAGTGTTTTCCAGATGTTTTCCAGATGTTTCTGTTGGTTATCAGTGAAAAGACACAGAGCTGACGACTTTCACTTCAACTGAGTTTTGTTAACATTTATTTCCATATGTGGGATAATCTTGTTCAGCTTTTTATGTCTTGATGAGCTAAAGACAGTTTCCTGTTGATTTTCTGTTCTTATACAGTGAGATGTGAATGAAAGCTCAGGCATGAATAAAGTCAGGATTATTTTGTAATATTTGGATTGATCTGTGCAGTCAGGTGCGTCGGTGCAACTTGAAAACAATGATACTATTTCTGATTATTATTTCTGACCCACCTGATGGTGCCGAGTCCTGAAAACCAGCTCCTGTTCAAACTAAACAGCAAGTTCATTGAGTAATTAAGGAGGAACTGTAATCTGGATCTATCTGTGCTCTATGAGTTTTCTTTAATAAAAAAGTGAGTTTGAGCTTTGTGTATGTTTTTGTACTTTTTTATTGCATGGGGAGAGATTATACACCCCCCCCAAAGTAACTAAGTAACTTTTACTCTGAGTACATTTTAAATGAGCTACTTTTTACTTTTACTTGAGTAGATTTTTTTGGTACTCTTTCCACCCCTGCCAGTTTCAGTTTAAGCGTTACACACTCGTCCCGACCCGGAGACCAAAGTTCCACAGTGCAAGAACAGGAGTACAGAGGAAGCATCACCCTGTTACAGTCAGTGTAACATCAGCATGATTCTGAAGCTGATTGTGAGGAGGAAAAGTTACATAATGGGCTTTAAGTCAATAATAATAATGATAATAATGACGCTGTATTATTATCAGGCACTTGTGTTAAAGACTCTAACTGTGTCTGTTTTATAACTACTGTGACAGAGTCAATCAGATATACTCCAGTAAAGCTCCACCTCTTCCTGTACGCAGACAGACACTGAGGACAGCACATGTGAGACATCAGAGCAGACAGCAGACAGACGGACAGAGAGACGCTCTACCTGGACGTGGATCACCTGTTGGTGCTGTTGCTGTGGAGCTCAGGTAGGACTCTGCTTTAAAGATGGTGAAATATTTGTGTTGGATGTTGGAGTAACATACGAAGGCTTCATTAGAAAAACAGATATCTCCATTTTGATTCTTGTGAGTGCAATCCAGGGATTATCAATCAAACTGCTGTTGGTTGATTCATTTCAAGAATGGCTTTAATCTGTTGTTGCAAATGAACTCTTCACACACACACACACACACACACACACACACACACACACACACACACACACACACACACACACACATCGTATCAATGCAAAGTAAGACAAAAAGGAAAACACTGTAAGATCGTACACAGTAAAGTTTTAATGTTTTAATTCTATTTTTAGTCAGTTATTATTATTTTCTTCAGCAACATAAATACTAGTAACAGAGTATTTGTACACTGTGGTATTAGTACTTTTACTGCAGTAAAAGATGTGAGTACTTCTTCCATCACTGCTCAACAGGAGAAAACTGATAAAGTGCAACAACTTAATGTTTCCTCAGAGTCACTTTTCCTCAGGTTTTCCTCTAATCGAAGCTTTCTGACTCTGCAGGGGTCAAAGGTCAACTTCACTAAATCATCATAACTAATAAAAAAAAGCCAAATATTCAGACGGACAAGCAAACTGCTCACATGTGGTTTGGATCACCATAGCAACACACAGGAAGAGTGACGGCTCATTCTGCTCAGAAAGACCATAGATATTGATCTGCTGATTGGCAGCCAGATAGAGCGATCGGTTCCTGTACGCAGTTAAACAGTGGGTGGGACTATTAGCCTACATACAGAAAATAACATTAATAGAATTATAATCATGATGGTATTTTTAAATAATGTTTTACCAATCATAGAGACTTAATAGGCTTCTTTCTTTGACAGATTGAGTGTTTTCTTGTCTCTGACGCTCACTGCGTCGGCTTAGCAACAGTTGTCATGCAGTATTATTACACAGACGCACTCAACATGAGGAAGTTACACTCTGCTAGGATTTCACAACTTCACATAGATACACATCTTCTTCATGAGCACAAGAGCATTTAATACAACAGTCTCCATCCCAGAGCAGTGAGAGATTGGATGCTGCAGAACGGAGGGAACCTAAAACAACACACTGTGTTTTGTTCATTATTTTGTTCTTCCAAAACTCTCCCAGTGACTTTCCACACTTTTTATATTCAACTAAACAAAAAGTCACAATCCAAGTTTGCCATGTAGTTTTGCATTTGTAAGGATGGGACGCACTGAATGACACAACACCCTGACAAGCATCTGTCAGCTCCTGTGGGAGCGGCTGTCACCAGCTCGTGGTGGACAGCAGCAGCAAGGAGAGCTCTGCTCTGCCCGGGGGATCGAACCAATGACTTTCCACTCACTTCTGTAACCTTTAGGCCACCACCACTGTTTTATTTCATCTGCAGGAAGGTTTTCATTTATTTCTGTTATTTATTGCTTTTTATTTTCTATACGACCTGACGTGTCTATGACCTCCACACACACATTATCAAAGTTAGACAAAAAGGAAAACATTGTAAAATTGTTCACAGTAAAGTTTGAATCCATCAGATTTCCATCAAATCAAAACCAGTTTTTGATTCTATTTTTAGTCATTTTTCCCTGCAACATCCAATAATAATAATAATAATAATAATAATAATAATAATAATGACACTGCACCATTATCAGACAGAGAGTCAGTCAGATATACTCCAGTAAAGCTCCACCTCTTCCTGTACGCAGACAGACACTGAGGACAGCACATGTGAGACATCAGAGCAGACAGCAGACAGACGGGCAGAGAGACACTCTACCTGGACATGGATCACCTGTTGGTGCTGTTGCTGTTGCTGTGGAGCTCAGGTAGGACTCTGCTTTAAAGATGGTGAAATATTTGTGTCTCTCTCTCTCTCTCTCTCTCTCTCACACACACACACACACACACACACACACACACACACACACACATCACATTGATGTATGAAAGGAAGAAAAAAAGGAAAACACTGTAAAATTGTACACAGTAAAGTTTTAATCCTTCGGATTTTCATCAAATCAAACCCAGTTTTTAATGAACTTTTTAGTCAATGATTGTTTTTTAGTAATTATCTCTCTGCAATAATTCAGTGGTGTCAGAAGGTGTGTGTAGCTGTGTGTGCGTACTGTCACTGGGAAGTTCAAAATGCTGCTTCATACTGATGAGTATTTTCTGATTTTCTCCTCAGCACTGCAGACTGAAGGAACACCCAACTCAACAGGTAAATAGAGAAAGAAAAGAGAAGTAAAGAACCGTCTTTGTGTGGAGAGCAAAGATTGTGGAGTACCTGAGCAGAAGGAACAGAATAGATGAATCTGCAGATGATGATGTTGTTTTATTGTTTGAAAGTGTTTAAAAATGGATACCAAGTGTTCCAGTGTATTCAGTGTCAGTGTATTGGGAGCTGTTGGACTCACCTGCTCAGGTAGAAGAGGAGCTGCAGCTCTGATTGGTTCATTTCTGTTCTGATGAAACTCACTTTATTCTTTTACTGATGACTCTCTTGTTTCTGTTCAGAGTCTGAGGAGGTCAGGTTGGTGGGAGGAGACAGTCGCTGTGCAGGAACACTGGAGCTGAAACATAATGGAGACTGGAGACCAGTGGGGGGCCGAGACTGGAACATGAAGGAAGCAAATGTTGTCTGTAGAAATCTGGACTGTGGTTCTGCTGTTTCTGTAGTAAAGAGAAAGGAGTCTTCAGGCAGACCTGTGTGGTGGATCGACTCTGACTGTGTTCAGTCTGGATATTCTCTGAGGGACTGTGCAAGATCAGTTTCCTCTCCCTCCATCCTGAATCTCACCTGTTCAGGTAAGCCCATCAGTGACATCATCAATGTCATAATTAATGACAATAACATGTTGACACACACACACACACACACACTCACACACACACACACACACACACACACACACACACACACACACACACACACACACACACACACACACCTGTAGTGATCCCAGTTCACCTCCTGGGCTCTGCCGAGGTCTCTTGAGCAAGGCACTGAAGCCCTAACTGCTTGGAGCAGCGACTGTGTGGCAGCCTCATCACTCTGACATCTGTCCACTAATGCATGTGTCCAGGTCCTGTGTGTGCATCAGTGGCTGCTGACTCAAACATTGTGGAGGACAGGAGGAAAACCAACCCACAGCATCGTGTTATTTTACACTAGTTGGCAGATTATCTCTACTTTCTTCTGTTCAATAACAATGAAACAGTAAATCAATGGCTTCCAAGAGTTCTTAAAAACAACATCATTGTATTCACTGCTGTTGTTTCCAGATGAACCCTACAGGCCTAATGAAGCTCAGTGTAAGTTCAATCAGGAAGACCTTCTCATTATGCCTCATTCATTCACAATTCTCTCCCTCTCTTTTCTAATCAGCCATGGCCGTTTACTCTTTCAGTTAATCCAATCAGATTTAGCCACAATCTCCTCCAGCCAATCATGTTGCTGCTGTTAAACTTTAAATCTGGTCTTTCCTCTGCTGCTTTCAGCTGTCATTTCTGTGCAAATGTGATTTTGATTCTTCAGCTCAATTCATATTCAATGTTAAGATAACGACGGAGAGAGGCTGATCAAACCACTACTGCCCCACATCAAGTCTATATTCTAGCAGTGGGCCCAGTCATGGTCCTGTGTCGGTATGTTTTGTTGCCTTAAATCTTCCATCGTGTATCAATGCCAGTATACCACCAACAAACAAATCACAGCAATATGTTTTCACTTCTGAAATTTTCACCGTGCATCAATACCAGTAGCCTACAAAACCAGATCAACACAGTCAGGTACAAGCTGTCCTCACATACCGATCAGTTCCCAGAAAATTCCTCAATGTCTCCAATCAGCGTCCCTCGTCGCTGCCAAGCCTACATGCAGCTGGCCTCTGCGTTCAGCAGGGCTTCACAGGGCGCTCATCACCTTTCGTCACCTTGCAACAGCTCTCTGGTCCAATGAGGTACTGCTGGAGCAACATGGCATTCTGTACCTTTATGTGGCAAAACCACTTAAATTCAATGTTTTTTAGTCTTTATTTATTCAGGGAGGGTTCACTGAGAGGAAGCCACTGTTACACATTCATACTTGGAAGCTGCCCAGTACAAGCACAGCCACTGAGCAGCTGTACAGCAGTGTTTTGGGTTAAGGGTCTTGCTCAAGGGCACATCAGTGGTGGTATTGAGGGAGGGGCAAGTGCTGCTTCTTCACTTTCCCCACCCGCCTTTAGGCCACCACTTTACAATTATTCACCAAAATGTATTTAAAGAAATAACAATTAGTTTACATCTTTTAACACTTTCAGTACCTTTTCATGCCACAGCAGACTGCAGGGGGAAAAACAGGTTGCACTACACAACTCCGCAGGGGCTCCATAAGGGAGGGCTACAGCATCAAATAAAGTTAAATAAATACAGAAAAACAAGTCCCCAACGTGGAATACAAAGAATGAGAAAATACATTGACAATAAAACAGTGATAATACTTAATAAAATACAGTTGTGAGTAATGGTAATGGCTACTGGAAGCATTCCACTCTGCTACACTGACAATCAGCTACGGGATTAAATGAACAAAATCACTCAAATAGATCCACTGTGAACTTGCCAATACACGCTGAAACGTCCTTGTGGCAAAATTAAAAAAGTTGAATGGAAGTGCTGTCCTAGTTCTTTGGTTCATGAAATTATTCCCAGGCCACACAGACCAATAATTGAATGGAAATTTACTAGTAGCTTATTTTATTTTATTTTTTTTAATTTTTAATTTTAATTTCATAATTTAATCACACTTTAAATATTTTTTTTCCCAAAGCAGAGAGAAATATGATTTTATAAATGATACTGAGATTTGGTCATTGTTTATTTTAACCAGTTACACTTTTTTATAGTTTTATTTCCCTCTTTCCTCTCAACAATAGAGGAGGAACAACCTCCCCTGCCTCTACGGACCAGCATCCTCTAGTGTAAATGTGTGTGTGTGTGTGTGTGTGTGTGTGTGTGTGTGTGTGTGTGTGTGTGTGTGTGTGTGTGTTTAAGGCCAATGTGTGTAATGTTAAAATAACATTATATTATGTTGTTTGATGACATCTTTTTATTTGTGTCTGGTGTCTTTTCTCTCTCTCTATTGTATCTTCTATTATCCGTCCAGACTCTGTCAGGCTGGTGGATGGGACTAGTCTGTGCTCAGGCAGACTGGAGGTGAAGTCTGACCAGTCTAACCAGTGGTGGTCCTCAGTGTGTGAAGATGACTTTGACCAGCAGGATGCAGAGGTGGTCTGTAGGGAGCTCGGCTGTGGGGCTCCTTCAGTCCTCCAGGGGGCGCTCTATGGAGAAGTGGAGGCTCCAATGTGGACAAAAGAGTTCCAGTGTGGAGGCCATGAGTCTGCTCTCCTGGACTGTAGAAGCTCAGGCTCAGCTAGAAACACCTGCTCACCTGGAAAAGCTGTTGGACTCACCTGCTCAGGTAGAAGAGGAGCTGCAGCTCTGATTGGTTCATTTCTGTTCTGATGAAACTCACTTTATTCTTTTACTGATGACTCTCTTGTTTCTGTTCAGAGTCTGTCAGGTTGGTGCGAGGAGACAGTCGCTGTGCAGGAACACTGGAGCTGAAACATGATGGAGACTGGACACCAGTGATTGGCTTAGGCTGGACCCTGAAGGAAGCAAATGTTGTCTGTAGAAATCTGGACTGTGGTTCTGCTGTTTCTGTAGGAGAGAGAGAGGAGTCTTCAGTCAGACCTGTGTGGTGGATCGACTCTGACTGTGTTCAGTCTGGATCTTCTCTGAGGGACTGTGCTATATCATATCCCTCTTCCTACATCCTGACTCTCACCTGTTCAGGTAAGCCCATCAGTAACATCATCTAACATCATATATGAGATGAACATGACATCCTGAAGTCAGAAGTGGGCTTGTCTCTTTCTGTCTGTCTGTGTGTCTGTCTGTCTGTCTGCTCCATGTCTCCAGTGACATTCACATCATCAATGCGACCTTTCATCATCTCATCTCATTTACAGACCTGCTGGTTCGGCCCAACATCTCTGTGTCCTCCTCCACGTACGGGGTCTCTGAGGCCCAGCAGCAGGAGTTTCGGGTGCTCAGGGGCTCCACCTTCACCATCAGCTGCTCCATCCAGCCACAGTACCCAGGAGGCTCCTTCCAGCTCACCTTCACCTCCTCCAACACAACGCACAACTACACCCAGCCAGCTGTCAATCACTCTGCCCACTTCCTGTTTCCTGCTGCAGAGCCCGCCCACCAAGGAAACTACAGCTGTGTTTATCACGTCTATGTTTTCTCTCATAACTTCTCCTCTGAGAGCCGTCTGCTCTCTCTCACTGTCTCAGGTAAGCTGAAGCAGAGAAACTGTCTCACTGACTGTTTACATGCAGCTTTGGAAAGATGATCAGCTGACAACAGAGACTACTGTCATTGTGTTACACATGTCATATAGTGTCCAAACTTATATAAGTGTGTAAATGTCAACAGCAAACAACATACTGTGGGACAGATCATGTTTGGTTACTGACTGAGGTATTTCACTGTTCACCATATTTACAGAGTAAACACAATTTGCTGTGATTTAATTGCAATAAACGGATCAAAAAGATGCTGAAATAACTACATAAGCTCAAGTTATTTAGTCGGGTCTCTCTGCAAGACCACAAGCAAATAACTTTTGAAATGTTTGTTTTCTGAATGGAGTTTGGTTGATCGGGGCTATGCTAACTTAGTTTGGAGAACAATGCAGACAGGATGTGTGGTCAGATAACAGTTCACTGAACAGATTCTGGGAGAAAACACCTTGTGATGTGATGACTGTCCATGTGTTTGATCAGATCCATCAGTTCATCATCACTTCAGCAGAGTGGTCCTCCTGCTGCTGACTCTGCTGTTGGTGAACACTGCCCTCTGTTGCTGCTGTAAGGTACTGACACTGTCTGTTGTTTAGAGGACTGACTGAAATGAAGCACTCTGTCTGTTTATTGAACTGAAGAGGGGACTCATGCTGTTGTGTCTCTCCAGGCCTGCAGGGGGCAGAAGCCGGGCAGACAGGAGAACATTGAGCTGGATGATTATAACCTGGGTGTTCCTGCAGCTGGAGGAGGGCCGACTGAAGAGGAAGGAGCTCAGGGAGCAGAGTAGGTCCTCCAAGGAGCTCCTCTCACATCCACATGGATTTCACAGCTGACACACAGCCAGCAGCTCAGTCAAGGATTTTACATTTTTATCCTCATGTTGGCTGGAATTATTATATCACATTATATTTTTATTACTCTGAGCATGAAAAGACCAAAACCAACCCTGTTTGTTCCTATTGAAGACGTAACTCTTTAAAAACACCTCCCAAATATTGAAAGCAGAGATACTGAGCTCTCGGGCTGTAAAGATTTACACATTCAGAAATCAGTTTTAACGTTATAGATTCGACGACATCGGTACGCGCACCCCTGGATCGATCTGAATGTACCATGAACCGGTCGATGGTCCGATTCTAAAGTTATGAAGACCCAGGCTGGTCGGGGATTTGGGAGTCATTTTGGAGCAATGTTGGCCCAGTGATGTTATCAATTCAGTTAAAGTCAAAGTGAAACACTTTCATATATCCTCTGAATCTGGTGTTACAATACTCGATCACATTTGGTGACGTTTGAACAACTGAATCCTGAGATAAGAGCAGAAACCTGTTCAGGACCACCTGCTGTTGGATCTGTAGATCTGGACCACATCCAGGGTTGGTGGAACAAATCTGCTGCGATTGGGAGAATCTGTTTAAAAAGATTACAGTGAATCAACAAAGTCATGTAGTTAGAGAACAGAGAACAATATTAAAGGTCAGAGGCTGTTTGACACCACTTTCATCCTGTTAATGAGATATCAACTTTATAACTTCATTTTGTTTCAGGATTTTACTTTTTTTCAGAAAGATTTTGGTTATTTCTTTAACATTAAGTTAACATTTGCTAATTTTTGTAATCATGGATTTTGCTTATTTGAACTATTCAGTATTTTGATTATTTCAGTAATTCAGGATTTTTCTTTTCTTATTTTTCTGCATATTTCATAAATGTAATTTTCCACAGGATTTAGCTTATTTTGTACCAGTGTTACTTAATTGTGTGATTAAGAATTTTGCTTACATTTATAATTAAGGATGTTTGCTAATTTTTTACAGTTACAGTTTTGCTTATTTCATACCAATTCATCTTGATTCTATGTTTTATGAATTTAACCAACTTTTGTAGATAAGGATTTTGCTCACTTTTGTAATTACAGATTTTGTTTATTTTGTATGAATTTTACTAAATGTTACAAATGTAGTTTAAAGGTCCAGAGTGAAACATTGAGGAGGATCTATTGTCACAAATGGAATATAATATTCATCGGTATGTTTTCATCAGTGTTTAATCACCTGAAAATAAGAATCGTTGTGCTTTTGTTACCTTAGAATGAGACGTTTTTATCTACAGAGGGAGCGGGTCCTCTTCTGGCGGAGTCAGCCATGTTCCTACGGTAGCCCAGAACGGACAAACCAAACACTGACTCTAGATAAGAGAGTTTGCATTTTTCCCAGCCAACGTAGGTTCCCCTACACACTTGGAAGGCGAGCTGTATTCAGTTGGTTGCATTCTCCAATTTCACCATTAGATGTCACTAAATCCCTTCACACTGGACCTTTAAGGATTTTGCTCATTTCATTAGAGTTTTACTGTGATTAAAGCTCGGGTAGATAACGTTAGACAAAGATCCACGTGAAAACATAAATCCCACCTGTTCCCTTCAGGCCTCCCTCCAAAACCACTCCCTGAAAACACATGAACACATAGTGGCCGACTGCTGCATCATTAACAATCATTTCATTCAGACTGAATCCAATCACTGGCTGAGCTCATTACAGCAGCCACAGAGACCAGATTGTCTCTCAGAGCATTTTATTGATTAATAATTGTCGGGATGTAAAAAGAATTTCAACAAATACAACAAAAAGATTCCTCTGAAATACCTACCCTAGCTTTAAGGATGTTGGTTAGTTTTACAATTAAGAATTTTACTTATTTTTGCCTATTTTGTATGGAGGCCCTTAGGGGGACATGGGTTTAGTTTTGTGTCCCTGTGATAAATATTTGGAGTGTAAAAAAGCTCTTTAAAGTAAAACCCAAGGGTCATCGTTGTTTGGGAAATGGCAAACCAAAGCTACGGAGAGTTTCATTCTGACCTTGGACTCAAATATAAAGACATTACGTCAGAGTTCGAGTACTTTTTCCACCGAGAATATCTCCCTTTCACCAACAGTCCTCTTCGGCTGTCTTTCACTGATTTGAAAACCATGACTAGAACCAAGCACTGATGTAATGTCTCAGCTATGAGCCTCTCCATTGCTTTGGTTTGCTGCTTCCACAAGTTATTTTTTTAACAAATATTTCTCTATGCAAAAGTATTTTTTTCTCCCCCATGTCCCTTAAGGGCCGCTGTAGTTTTGTAACTAAGGATTTTCTTATTTCACGCAGATTTTGCTTAACCCCTTGTGACTAACGACTTAATACAGAAATGGCTGAATCTCAAAAACTATAAGGAGTTATATCAAATACTTGGTACCATTGGATTCAACTTCAGTTAAAGCTGCAGTCCGTGTACGTCGGGGAGTGCCGCGGCCGCATTATGAGCCAGTATATCACACGTAAATCAGATGAAGATTACTGTACAAAGCTTACTTCCTGTTTCCAGTAGGTGGCACTGTGACTATGACTGAATATTGGCAAGTAAATGTTTTCAGGCCAAGACTCTCATCAAACACAAGAGACTTTTTTGTACGTTTGGTCGTGATACATGTGCGTACAGATTTTCATGCATTCCGGTAAGAAGTGCCGCGGGGGGCTGCAGTTTAACGGGCGCTGTGGAGCCATTATATGAGATGGAATGACACGTACATTTTCACTAACGCCAACTTTTGTGCCACATTTCATAACTTCAGTTAAGACAAATAATAATTCCCTCAGCGGTCGCTGCTCGGGCCCCAATAATATGTACTTTGATCCAGAGCCAATCTGGTCGTTAGTTGGTTACAGATTCAGGTTATTTCATAGATGACTGTAATGCAGGGGTCTCAAACTCACACTGTCTTGGGGCCACTGTTGGTATTGTTATCTCCGAGTCATCGTTCAAGTAAGAAAGTGTAATATTCTGAAACTGTTTCCACTACTACAAACAATGCAAACAGCAGTTTCTATACAGTTTTTTATATCATTCTTGTTGTTTGCAGTCAAATGAGCTTTTCCATTATTTTGTTTTTATTGTAATTGTATATGAAGGGGTAGTTTAAATTGATGTGAAATAACCGGAAAAAATATATTTTTTAAACTGATTATCTTATCGGTCAGATTATATTAAAGGTTTGACATCATGTCTGGGGCCAGAGGGAGGGGGTGGAGGGCCAGAAATGGGCCCCGGGCCGGCAGTTTGAGGCCCCTGCTGTAATGAATGTATCACCATCATCTACTATGTTAAAAAACATGAAAGCATTTTAATAAACTTTTGCTTATTTCATATGAATTGTGCTCATTTTTATTGGATAAAGAAAATAAAAGCAGGTTAATAAAGTATGAAACTGTGAATGAGCTGATTTTAAGTGCTTCACTAGAATTTCTTGTGTTTTTTCTGTTAGTTGGGAAAATGTTTGGTTTCTTTGTATTCGAGCGCTTTGCATTCACCAGAGAAGAAAACTTAAAAGCCTCGGTTATGACTCACTAGCTCGTTATTACCACACAGCCATTATTAGTCGGGACAAATTCTGCTTATTCTACAGCATTTTCTACCATTCTTGGAAACAACAGTAGTTCCATGTGCGTCAAGCACTGTGCAACCTAACAGCATATCTTAATAAAAGAAGGACGTTAACATAACTTGAATTCAACCCAACTCAGTATTCAATTTTGAATAACTCAACTGGTTTAAGGGAACTTTTTGTGCAGTATTTCAAGTATTGGTCACATAATTTTGTTTGTTTGTTCCACTGACTCATTTTCTTTAAGTTGACTTTATATAAAACAAAAATGTAGTATAGCTTAGTATTTTTACATTTTGTGATTTGACCATTTGGAGAATCAATTCATTGTAGATTTTGTATTGTACATCAGCTGTTTGGAGAGTTGCTGCATATGAGTGTAATATACTTACTAGTTTTAATGGAATTGGTACAATTAACTTCATTTACCCAAGTTATCTTCACAATAAATACTACGGCAGCCACGACGGAGTCCAGTATTTTTACGTGCAAGTAATTCTCAGCAGTCGGAGGTCGCTCATCATCGAGACGAAGATCCTCTAGAGGATTAAAAGACACATTCAAGTTTAGTGTTTAGTTTAAATGTTTGTTTGTCAGTTTTATATTGTGGCACATTGTCTAAGGGCAGTGTAGTTCCTGTGGCTGGCCTCTGGAGGGCAGTGTAGTTCCTGTGCTTGGCCTCTGGAGGACAGTGTAGTTCCTGTGCTTGGCCTCTGGAGGGCAGTGTAGTTCCTGTGGTTGGCCTCTGGAGGGCAGTGTAGTTCCTGTGCTTGGCCTCTGGAGGGCAGTGTAGTTCCTGTGCTTGGCCTCTGGAGGGCAGTGTAGTTCCTGTGCTTGGCCTCTGGAGGGCAGTGTAGCTCTTACAGTGTTTAACAGAGAAAGAATGATGTTTAAAATGAGGCTGATGGGTTCCCGCTCTCTCAGACACCCTAAAGGAGGCTCCTTCGTGCGGCCGGCGAAGGTGAGCTACGGAGTGGACTACCTGACCGCCGTGCAGCAGGAGTACCAGATCGACTCCGAGGAGGTGCTGAGTGAGGAGATCTCCATCTCCTCTAAGAAGCTCAAATGGTTGGCAGTGGAGGAGCGCAGGTAACAAACAATCCTCAAACAATCCTTTATTACTTCCTCCATGTAGCACTGGTTTCTCTAACAGTAAGACACTTTGATATCTCACAACATTTAAAAGAAAGAAGTAGTTTTTATATATTACTGTAAGACTGTAAACCATCATCACAGCGTTCATATAACAACTTATGGTAAAAACTTTATTGTAATAAATACAGTAGATTCTGCTATTACAGTAGCATTATATTAGTTTAGTTGAGTTTTAATCTGTATATTATATTATTATTATTATTATTATAATGTGTTCTGTGTGTGGACAGTTTGGAGACTCTTCCATCGGTGTTGCTGACTCGCTCTGATGTGAACGGACCCGGAGCTGACGGAGAAATCAGGAAAACAACACCAAGTATCTTTTTACACTGACAGCGTGGAGGACACGCCCCCCCACAGTCACTGTCCTTTGCAGGTCTCTGGTGTATTTTGTATATTTGTTATATTTGAGGTGGGGGGGAGTTGAAGGGGGCGGTTACACTTTAACAGCAGCGATCAGACGTGCAGTGGTTGGACCTCAGTGGGACTCTGCTGTCCTGCTGGGAGGACGTCAGCGCCATCAGCCAGCAGCTGGACCAACTGAACGGACTACAGCTCAGGTACCCTGTGTGTGTGTGTGTGTGTGTGTGTGTGTGTGTGTGTGTGTGTGTGTGTGTGTGTCCTCTGAACTTCTTCTTCTTTTATCTTTTAGCAACAACAGGCTGCGTTTCCCCTCCGACCCCTCGGCTCACCTCCAGGCGTTCGGCAGCCTCAGAGTCCTCGTCCTCAACAGCTGCGACCTCACCTGGCCGCAGGTACGCTCCCTCTTACCAACAAATCACTGACAGTTTGTTAAGTGTTGATACATTTCACAATAAAAGTCCAGACTAACGACTTCCTCTCCCTGTGAACTCTTCTGTATCTGTGCTGGTCTGGGGTCAGATCCTGGAGTGCGCCCCCATGTGGCCTCAGCTGGAGGATCTGTCAGTGCAGGAGAACAACATCACGGAGCTGCAGAGGTAACGTTGGTTGTGTTTCCCCTCGCTGACGTTCAGGCTGCGCAGACTTTGTCTAACTGGCGTTTCCGTGATGTTTTAAAGGCCCGACGGAGTCCTGCAGTCCCTGAAGAGTCTCAGTCTGTCCTCCAATCCTCTAGTGCAGGAGACTGTGCTCAGTATAGCTGCTCTGTCCAGGTGTGTATTCATTTATATCGAGTTTTAGTGCCTAACAGTTATATAACTTTCACTTTTAAATGTGTTTAATTGTCACATATAATGAAAGCGGTTCAGTCAACCTGGAACAGAACTACAGAACCAACATGGAGCCAGTCAGCACTCATCCATCAGCTTCTTCTGGAGGTTCAAACTGTTTCTGATCCAGTGTGGAGGAGTTCATTTCTTAAGTGAAATAGTTCTTATGTTGGTTCCTAAATTAAATTGAAGCAGCAGAAACTGTATTTACGTCTACAGAGAAATCTTCAGCTCAAACTTTAAAGTAACGACTTTAATGGACGTTGCTGCAGAAGAGAAACAGGAACTCGGCTGTCGTCCGTTCGCTGACAGACCCTGAACTACAGCTGCTTATGGAACCTGCAGTTTATCTCAGTTTACATTCAGAAACAGCGGTTCTGGTTCTGGTTCTGGTTCTGAACAACCAGCGCAGAGACTGAACATTGTAATAATGTAGAGACTCTCCTCGTTGGTTCAGTCGACCGTCTGAAGCTCCTGAAATAAACTCTGTTCTCTGACTGCAGACTGGAGGATCTGGACTTGTCGAGGACCGGACTGTCTGAGCTTCGGTTCGATGACGCCGCTCCCGGTAAAACTAACCTAAAGTCACATTTTAATATTTATTACGGAGTATTAGGGCCATACTAAAAGGAAAAATAAATAAATAAGTAAAATTTGGGAAATTAGGGGAAAAAAGTTGCAATGTTACGAGAATAAAGTCGTAATAATACGGGAAAAAAAGTCGTTTTAATGAGAAAAAAGCTTCGATAGTTATCAAGATCTGAATCAGAATCAGAAATACTTTAATAATCCCAGGAGGAAATTATTCAGATATACAAACGACATATTATAAAAAACAACATATATATATATATATATATATATATATATATATACAACATTCAGCACAAAAAATATAAATTTATATATATAACTACATATATATAGTTATATATATAAATATATATACAAGATCAAATGTACAGTATTAATGTGAAAAAAGTGAATGATTGTCTATGTTTTGAGTCAGAATTACAGAGGGGGGGGGGTGTCTGACTCTCTGAGGGAGGCGTTGTAGAGATTGATGACCACAGGCAGGAATGATTTCCTGTGGCGCTCTGTGGTGCATCTGGGTGAGAGGAGTCTTCTGCTGAAGGTGCTCCTCTGCTGGGCCAGTGTGTCGTAGAGAGGGTGAGAGACATTGTTCAAGATGGACTGAAGCCTGGACAGCATCCTCCTGATCTGACGTGAGCAGCTCAACCAAACAGCAGCCTCAGCCTGAGCCCAGCAGCCGCTGTTTGTCTCAGTCGTACCGTACAGTCAACTTTATTCTCGTAATATTACGACTTTATTCTCCTAATGTAACAACTTTTTCTCATAATTCCCCCACAAAAAATGAATTGTTTCTCTTAGTCTGGCCCTAACACTTAATATTTACAGTTGGTCTTACGTTCCCTCTGTAGGATCTCACACAGCCATGTTCCCGGCACTGAGGAAGCTCAACCTCGACCACAACAACATCACAGAGGTCAGTGTCTGTTTCTGCCAAATACTGAGCTCCACTCAACCTGTAACAGTCAGCAGTCAGCAGAGGTCAGTGTCTGTTTCTGCCAAATACTGAGGTCCTCTCAACCTGTAAAGGCCAGGACACACCAACCTGACTGCCGACTGTCGGCAGAAAAGCAGTCGGACTGATCAGTCGGCTCCCGTCTCCCCAAGTCAGTCAAAAAAGTGCCTCTGAACACACCAAACTGACGCCGACTGGAGCGTACGTTCTGCGCGTGCGCGAGGCGTAATACATCCCAATAACAGCAGGTGGCGCTAATCTGTGTTGTCGCCCCAAAAAATTAAAACTGGAAATGACGGATCACTCTAGACCTAGTAAACACAGAGCACGCTGTCGTCAGTCATTGTTTTCATCAGAGAGTGTTGATAGTAGTCAAGAAGGATCGTTATTGTCATTACTCGCTGAACAGAAAATACGATGGCTAATAATAACAAGATACTGCCGTTGGCGTCGGATGTTTACCATCGTCACTTCCGGTTTTCTCGTGCACTCACTGATTCACTAGTCAAAGGCCAGCACTCCACCAATCAGATTGGTCATTGAGGCCGACGCCGACTGACGACAGCACGGGACACACCGAACCAACTCGAGTCACCGACCTCGTCTGACTGTCCGGCGGCCGATAATCTCTCTCTCTCTCTGTCTCTCTCTCTCTCTCTCTGTCTCTCTCTCTCTCTCTCTCTCTCTCTCTCTCTCTCTCTCTCTCTCTCTCTCTCTGTCTCTCTCTCTCTCTCTCTCTCTCTGTCTCTCTCTCTCTCTCTCTCTGTCTCTCTCTCAGTGGAGTGTGGTGGACGAGTTGGCCTAAAACAGCTGATCAGCTGCTGATCGCCAAACTGGGTGGACTGGAGGTTCTGAACGGCAGCAAGGTGAGCTGTAAACATACGGGGGCTAAACAACAACAACAACAACAACAACAAAAAGTCTAGAAATCTAGAGTTATTGTTGCCATGGTTTCCATCAGGTGCATCCCGAGGACAGGAAGGGGGCGGAGCTCGACTACATCAAGATGTTTGGAGAGGAGTGGCTGAAGGCGGGCGGGGGGGCTCAGCCCGGCAGCGAGTTCACCTGTCAGCACCCACGTTACCTGAGCCTCATCCACAGTAAGCCCCGCCCACAACGCCACCATGTGACTGTGTGTGTGTGTGTGTGTGTTATTGATTACAGTGGAAGGTGAACGTGGTCTCGTTCTGTGTTACAGAGTACGGAGCTCCTGAGGAAGGCGAGCTGAGGAAGCCGAAGCCGTTTGCCCTGAAAAACCAGCTGTTAAGTTAGTCCCGCCTCTTTCTGCTCTCAGCCCTCTGATTGGCTAACACTCAGGTTCCCAACCTGAGGGTCCTGTCCCCCACTAGGGGTCGCCAAAGCTTAACAAGGGGTCATGAGGTCTTCTTGATTTCTAGAGGTTTAAGAAAACTTTAAAATAGACGCAGTAAGCCGGTTCTGATCCGATCTTCTCTCCTCTCCAGAGATCACGTTTGTGTGTCCAGACGACGGCGAGCGGAAGCCGATCGAGAAGAAACTTCCAGGTAAACTTCCTCCTCTCTCTGCTGTTTCCGGCTGAAAAAGAATCCGGATGAGTGTAACTGTGTTTTGTTCCGCAGCCTCCATGGAGGTCCAGAAGGTGAAGGGACTCCTGTACCGACTGCTGAAGGTTCCTGCTGCAGATCTGAAGCTCACCTACACCAGCCTCAAGGTACAACGCAGACTGCAGTTCCTCTAATGACCACTAGAGGCGGACTGCAGTTCCTCTAATGTCCACTAGAGGCGGACTGCAGTTCCTCTAATGTCCACTAGGCGGACTGTTCCTCTAGTCCACTAGAGGCAGACTGCAGTTCCTCTAATGGCCACTAGAGGCGGACTGCAGTTCCTCTAATGGCCACTAGAGGCCGGCTCCAGCACTGAGCTCCACATTAACACAGTCGAGCTCTTTTCTCTCCAGAAAGTTGGGACGGAGTTTGAGATCGACAGCGACCTGAAGACTCTACAGTTTTACTCCATAGAGGACGGAGACCAGGTGTTGGTCCGCTGGTCCTGAGCCGGGACCTGGACCCAGGAGGTGAAGAGACCCCCCCCCACCCTCTGGTCCACGGTCTTTCTGTGTCAGACTGAGATCCAGCAGCAGAGGACACTGAGAGTGAATCCAGAAAGACTACGACAGAAATGAAACCACACAGAGAAATCATCCTCTAACATTTAGTGAATAAACAAACAGACCTTTCACACTCTGAATTCTTCCTCTTTGCGTTGGTCTGATCAGTAGGAGCCAGTAATCTGCGACTTTGTGACTTTTAGGGCTCCGACAGACCGGAGAGACGTCCTGGAAAACCTGGAATAGTACAGGCTAGTCATGGAAACACCTGGAAATTGATTAAAATGAGCAAATATCCTGGAAGTAATCAGCGTTCGGCCTGCGCTGTGACGCCTTAAAAGTTAAAAGTTCCTTAAAATATCAGGAAAACTCATCTCTCGATATTCACAGGAAATAATCTGCTCAGAATTCATTAAAATCCTGAATATCCGTAAAATAATCAGTTCAGTCACTGATAGAAACGACAAAATGAACCTTTCTGTCAGTGAGTAAACTGACTGTATTTCATATTATATTCAATGTGTATCAATAACAACAAGAGATGTTATTTTATGTTTCTGTTTAAATCGTCTGACATTGAAATTCAAATAAAAATCTGTCACTCACTGTTGTCTGCTGGGGTCCTTATTATCATATTATATTATTATTATCACTATATTATATTATTATCACTATATTATATTATCACTATATTATATTATTATCACTATATTATATTATCACATTATTATATTATTATCACTATATTATATTATTATCACATTATTATATTATTATCACATTATTATATTACTATCACATTATTATATTATCATATTATTATATTATCACATTATTATATTATTATTATATTATCATCACTATATTATATTTTTATCACATTATATTATTATCACATTATTATAATTATATTATTATATTATTATCACATTATATTATCACATTATTATATTATTATCACATTATTATATTATTATCACATTATTATATTATCATATTATTATATTATTATCACTATTTTATATTATTATCACTATATTATATTATTATGTTATTATCTGTTATATTTCTGTTATATTGTTACATTATCTGTCTCTCTCTCACCGACTGGTCGCCTGCTGAGTCGGTTCCTGTCTGAAGGTTCGTGTCCACAGGATCATTAACATTCATTGTCTCTGTGAGCAATGCATTGTGGGTTAGAGAGACGAGAGGAGTAGAAGTTTAGTTCAGATGTTTCTATGATAAATGACAGAACTTCAGCTGGATCTGGTCAATCTGCTGGAAGAGATACATAAAAGTGTAGTGGCGCTCTCACTATTACTGAATATTATCACATAGACGTGTTCAGGGCGGGACTCTTATCAGACATGAAGTTTCATTGAGATCAGATCAGGAACTCAGAAGTTATGACGAATCCCTCTTTCATGGCGAGTCCTTGAAATTCCACGCCACAGCCACGGGCACGCCGTTCAACGGGATGTCGTAAATAGCACAACTTTTAATGGTGAATGTGTTTAGATGGCTGTGTCCAAATCTGAAGTGTATCCGATCAATTCAAATAGGAGGAGTTGGTTCAAATACAACGTGTGCAAATCACCATGAATGACCACTAAATCCAAAATGGCTGATGTGTACTAACAGGCAAGCAAACTGCTCACATGTGGTTTGGATCACCATAGCAACACACAGGAAGAGTGATGGCTCATTCTGCTCAGAAAGACCATAGATATTGATCTGCTGATTGGCAGCCAGATAGAGCGATCGGTTCCTGTACGCAGTTAAACAGTGGGTGGGACTGAAAGGGTTACGCAAGAGGGAAAAATGTTAAATTTATACCCTCAATGGGCAATGTATGTCGGGAGATACAGTCTGTAAACTGGAAAATAAAGGTCATAATTATATAATTTCAGCCTACATACATTAGAAAATAGCAATTAATTATAAGTCCAAAACATTTATAGAGGATTGTCCATTTAAGAGTTAACTGCAGACCACACACTGTCAACATCACCTTTAATGGACTAAAACTTTATTTAACAAAGAGAACCATCAGGAAACACACACAGTTTAATTCAGTTTAAATCAGTTTAATTCAGTTTAATTCAGTTTAAATCAGTTTAAAGACTCTAACTGTGTCTGTTTTATAACTACTGTGACAGAGTCAGTCAGATATACTCCAGTAAAGCTCCACCTCTTCCTGTACGCAGACAGACACTGAGGACAGCACATGTGAGACATCAGAGCAGACAGCAGACAGACGGGCAGAGAGACGCTCTACCTGGACATGGATCACCTGTTGGTGCTGTTGCTGTTGCTGTGGAGCTCAGGTAGGACTCTGCTTTAAAGATGGTGAAATATTTGTGTGTCTCTCTCTCTCTCTCTCACACACACACACACACACACACACACACACACACACACACACACACACATTAATGTATGAAAGGAAGAAAAAAAGGAAAACAGTGTAAAATTGTACACAGTAAAGTTTTAATCCTTCAGATTTTCATCAAATCAAACCCAGTTTTTAATGAACTTTTTAGTCAATGATTGTTTTTTAGTAATTATCTCTCTGCAATAATTCAGTGGTGTCAGAAGGTGTGTGTAGCTGTGTGTGCGTACTGTCACTGGGAAGTTGTTGCTGAGATATTGACGTTTGTTTTGTTTTTGTTTGTGCGTCTGTGGGGTCAAAGGTCAACTTCACTAAATCATCAGAACTAATAAATATCAGGTAATTAGTGAACACATGTCACATGTCCTGACGCTGACAGCATTAATGTGATAGTAAGAGCTCAGCGTGCTAACGGAACCACAGTCCTGTAATCTGTAATCTGTCAGCAGATTCTGATCAAATGAACATTTATCAGAGGGACAGTGTTTCACAGAAATGCACTTCAGAGAGTTTAACTGCAGGATGTCAACATCACCTTTAATGGACCCATACAAAGAAAGACAACTACTGTGTTGGTGCAATTAAAATTAAATAAATTATTACCTAAGACCAAAATGACCATCAACAGCTGGTAAATTGGAGGATGTGGAGCTCTAACTTTATAAGTATAGCACCATTCATACAGTTTAGTGCAGCTCAAAGTGATTCACAGATGATTGATAGGAATAAAATAAAAAAAACATAGCGGACCGGACCGGCCCACATTGGGTCAACGGCCCACTGGGACGATACCCGGTATGCCAGATGGCCAGTCCACCCCTGGTGTGCAGGTGTTGAGTTTAACTCAGTGTAAATCAGTCTGCTGACTCGTGTTCATTCACATGTTCATCTCAACTATAGTAAACTGGTAAAACGGTTCCAGAGAGAGTTCACTGAGATGTTTCTGAGCTCCAAGAAACTTGGATCGACTGTCCTCTTTTCAATATGCTGCTTCATACTGATGAGTATTTTCTGATTTTCTCCTCAGCACTGCAGACTGAAGGAACACCCAACTCAACAGGTAAATAGAGAAAGAAAAGAGAAGTAAAGAATCGTCTTTGTGTGGAGAGCAAAGATTGTGGAGTACCTGAGCAGAAGGAACAGAATAGATGAATCTGCAGATGATGATGTTGTTTTATTGTTTGAAAGTGTTTAAAAATGGATACCAAGTGTTCCAGTGTATTCAGTGTCAGTGTATTGGGAGCTGTTGGACTCACCTGCTCAGGTAGAAGAGGAGCTGCAGCTCTGATTGGTTCATTTCTGTTCTGATGAAACTCACTTTATTCTTTTACTGATGACTCTCTTGTTTCTGTTCAGAGTCTGAGGAGGTCAGGTTGGAGGGAGGAGACAGTCGCTGTGCAGGAACACTGGAGGTGAAACATGGAGACTGGAAACCAGTGATTGGCTCAGACTGGACCCTGAAGGAAGCAACTGTTGTCTGTAGAAATCTGGACTGTGGTTCTGCTGTTTCTGTAGGAGAGAGAGAGGAGTCTTCAGTCAGACCTGTGTGGTTGATCTACTCTTACTGTGTTCAGTCTGGATCTTCTCTGAGGGACTGTGCAACATCAGAATCCTCTTTATACATCCTGAAACTCACCTGTTCAAGTAAGCCCATCAGTGACATCCTCAATGACATAATTAATGACAGTAATGTACCCATGTTGACGCACACACACACACACACACACACACACACACACACACACACACACACACACACACACACACACCCTGTAGTGATCCCAGTTCACCTCCTGGGCTCTGCCGAGGTCTCTTGAGCAAGGCACTGAAGCCCTAACTGCTTGGAGCAGCGACTGTGTGGCAGCCTCATCACTCTGACATCTGTCCACTAATGCATGTGTCCAGGTCCTGTGTGTGCATCAGTGGCTGCTGACTCAAACATTGTGGAGGACAGGAGGAAAACCAACCCACAGCATCGTGTTATTTTACACTAGTTGGCAGATTATCTCTACTTTCTTCTGTTCAATAACAATGAAACAGTAAATCAATGGCTTCCAAGAGTTCTTAAAAACAACATCATTGTATTCACTGCTGTTGTTTCCAGATGAACCCTACAGGCCTAATGAAGCTCAGTGTAAGTTCAATCAGGAAGACCTTCTCATTATGCCTCATTCATTCACAATTCTCTCCCTCTCTTTTCTAATCAGCCATGGCCGTTTACTCTTTCAGTTAATCCAATCAGATTTAGCCACAATCTCCTCCAGCCAATCATGTTGCTGCTGTTAAACTTTAAATCTGGTCTTTTCTCTGCTGCTTTCAGCTGTCATTTCTGTGCAAATGTGATTTGGATTCTTCAGCTCAATTCATATTCAATGTTAAGATAACGACGGAGAGAGGCTGATCAAACCACTACTGCACCACATCAAGGCTATATTTTAGCAGTGGGCCCAGTCATGGTCCTGTGTCGGTATGTTTTGTTGCCTTAAACCTTCCATCGTGTATCAATGCCAGTATACCACCAACAAACAAATCACAGCAATATGTTTTCACTTCTGAAATGTTCATCGTGCATCAATACCAGTAGCCTACAAAACCAGATCAACACAGTCAGGTACAAGTTGTCCTCACATACCGATCAGTTCCCAGAAAATTCCTCAATGTCTCCAATCAGCGTCCCTCGTCGCTGCCAAGCCTACATGCAGCTGGCCTCTGCGTTCAGCAGGGCTTCACAGGGCGCTCATCACCTTTCGTCTCTGTTGCAACAGCCCTCTGGTCTAATGAGGTACTGCTGGAGCAACATGGCATTCTGTACCTTTATGTGGCAAAACCACTTAAATTCAATGTTTTTTAGCTTTATTTATTCAGGGAAGGTTCACTGAGAGGAAGCCACTGTTACACATTCATACTTGGAAGCTGCCCAGTACAAGCACAGCCACTGAGCAGCTGTACAGCAGTGTTTTGGGTTAAGGGTCTTGCTCAAGGGCACATCAGTGGTGGTATTGAGGGAGGGGCAAGTGCTGCTTCTTCACTTTCCCCACCCGCCTTTAGGCCACCGCTTTACAATTATTCACCAAAATGTATTTAAAGAAATAACAATTAGTTTACATCTTTTAACACTTTCAGTACCTTTTCATGCCACAGCAGACTGCAGGGGGAAAAACAGGTTGCACTACACAACTCTGCAGGGGCTCCATAAGGGAGGGCTACGGTATCAAATAAAGTTAAATAAATACAGAAAAACAAGTCCTGAAACGTGGAATACAAAGAATGAGAAAATACATTGACAATAAAACAGTGATAATACTTAATAAAATACAGTTGTGAGTAATGGTAATGGCTACTGGAAGCATTCCACTCTGCTACACTGACAATTAGCTACGGGATTAAATGAACAAAATCACTCAAATAGATCCACTGTGAACTTGCCAATACACGCTGAAACGTCCTTGTGGCAAAATTTAAAAAGTTGAATGGAAGTGCTGTCCTAGTTCTTTGGTTCATGAAATTATTCCCAGGCCACACAGACCAATAATTGAATGGAAATTTACTAGTAGTCTATTTTATTTCAGTCAGCCCAACTCTCTATTTAAATCAAGATTTTGTGATCACTGATTTGCTGAAACATTTTCCTCTACCTTAAGCTTGTTACAATTATGTTCCCCTTTCTGTCAGCCATGATTTTGTACCTTTAAAATTAAACAAAGGTCCACATTTATCACCTTAAGGACCTTTTTCGTGCCTTAGACGGGACTTTTGTAACAAATGTACCTTTGGGTACAGAAATGATTCCCCTATTTCTCTGTGTGCAGGACCTCGACCCAACAAACTCACTGTTTTCAGTTTGGTTGTCGGATCCTAACTTTTGTTTGCCATCTCCGACTTTAATTTCTGTTTAGTTGTCAGACGTTAAGTTCTGTTTTCCATTTTATTTAAGTTGGTGTTGTTCGGTCTTATGACCTTTTATTAGGTTCCACATGCTACACCTATGGTCTCCCTGACCTCATGCAACAAATCTGCATTTTCAGTTTGTGACTGCTGACTTTAATTTCTACTTGGTATTATGATATTTTATATTTCTGTTTGGTCCTATGAACTTTCCATTATGTTACATACTGATCTTAATCATTATTTCATAAAATTGACCTCATTTTCTTCTAGTATCAAGCTCACATTTCCTCTGTGAGAACACTCCTTTACATTTGCCGGCTTGTTGTAATTTAGTCCGATCTCATTTGCCACGTCATGGTCAATACAACCTCAGTATGGCATTATTGTACAATCATTTACTTCCAGCTATATGTTCCTGTTACATGTTACATATTTTAAGTGATCCCCTGCTGTCTGGTACGGTAGGATTGAAGCATTTTTACCTGGTTCGTTGTTCCTTTCTCATTCTTTTCTATTCTTTTGGGGGTTCCCTATACTAATCACAGCTCCACCAACCCCCTCAAATACGATGACTTTACGATGGGGTCTAATCGCCAAAGACTTTTACATTTCTAATCTTCACTGAGCTCATATCATCTAAATATATTTGTCCACTCCAAAATAAGGTCTTTCCTGATTGAAGGGTTGTGAGATGTAACAAGAAGCAGGATTGAATCAAAGTTGGCAGTTATCCTCAACAAAGTAGTTCAAACACAGCAGCTCTATTTCTCTGCTACAAAGGAAATATGACAGTAATGATCCCAGCACCATTGGTAAATACCCACACTGAAACAGCAGCTGCACTTTCCTTAAAAACACTAGGGGTGTCCTGCAGGTGTCGCTGTTGAAGCATTTTAATCACAATTTGAATGATGGATTTTCTCCAAAGCAGAGAGAAACCTTAATTCATGAAGGATAATTGTTTGTTTGGTAATTATTTATTTCAACCAGTTAATCTTTTTATAGTTTTATTTCCCTCTTTCCTCTCAACAATAGAGGAGGAACAACCTGTGTGTTTTTCATGTGTGTGTATTTCAGGCCAATGTTTGTGTGAAACGTAAAAATAAGAATAGTGTAAAAATCTAATTTCCCTAAAACAGATTAATTAACTTCTTTTTCAAGTTCTTTTTCTGGATCGTTATCTAAACAGATTTTTATTCTGGGTTACAGATCTTCTCAGTCTTTTCTCTCTCTCTATTTTATCTTCTATTATCTGTCCAGACTCTGTCAGGCTGGTGGATGGGACTAGTCTGTGCTCAGGCAGACTGGAGGTGAAGTCTGACCAGTCTAACCAGTGGTGGTCCTCAGTGTGTGAAGATGACTTTGACCAGCAGGATGCAGAGGTGGTCTGTAGGGAGCTCGGCTGTGGGGCTCCTTCAGTCCTCCAGGGGGCGCTCTATGGAGAAGTGGAGGCTCCAATGTGGACCAAAGAGTTCCAGTGTGGAGGCCATGAGTCTGCTCTCCTGGACTGTAGAAGCTCAGGCTCAGCTAGAAACACCTGCTCACCTGGAAAAGCTGTTGGACTCACCTGCTCAGGTAGAAGAGGAGCTGCAGCTCTGATTGGTTCATTTCTGTTCTGATGAAACTCACTTTATTCTTTTACTGATGACTCTCTTGTTTCTGTTCAGAGTCTGAGGAGGTCAGGTTGGTGGGAGGAGACAGTCGCTGTGCAGGAACACTGGAGCTGAAACATGATGGAGACTGGAGACCAGTGAGGGGCTTCGGTTGGACCTTGAAGGAAGCAAATGTTGTCTGTAGAAATCTGGACTGTGGTTCTGCTGTTTCTGTAGGAGAGAGAGAGGAGTCTTCAGTCAGACCTGTGTGGTTGATCTACTCTAACTGTGTTCAGTCTGGATCTTCTCTGAGGGACTGTGCAACATCAAGATCCTCTTTCTACATCCTGAATCTCACCTGTTCAGGTAAGCCCATCAATGACATCATCTAACCTCATATTTGACATGAACATGACATCCTGATGTCAGAAGTGGGCTTGTCTCTGTCTGTCTGTCTGTCTTTCTGTCTGTCTGTCTGTCTGTCTGTCTGTCTCTCTCTCTCTCTGTTTACAGTCTGTCATCCGTCTGCTCCATGTCTCTTCCTGATATCAGTCCAGTGACATTCACATCATCAGTGCGACCTTTCATCATCTCATCTCATTTACAGACCTGCTGGTTCGGCCCAACATCTCTGTGTCCTCCTCCACGTACGGGGTCTCTGAGGCCCAGCAGCAGGAGTTTCGGGTGCTCAGGGGCTCCACCTTCACCATCAACTGCTCCATCCAGCCACAGTACCCAGGAGGCTCCTTCCAGCTCACCTTCACCTCCTCCAACACAACGCACAACTACACCCAGCCAGCTGTCACTCACTCTGCCCACTTCCTGTTTCCTGCTGCAGAGCCCGCCCACCAAGGAAACTACAGCTGTGTTTATCACGTCTATGTTTTCTCTCATAACTTCTCCTCTGAGAGCCGTCTGCTCTCTCTCACTGTCTCAGGTAAGCTGAAGCAGAGAAACTGTCTCACTGACTGTTTACATGCAGCTTTGGAAAGATGATCAGCTGACAACAGAGACTACTGTCATTGTGTTACACATGTCATATAGTGTCCAAACTTATATAAGTGTGTAAATGTCAACAGCAAACAACATACTGTAGGACAGATCATGTTTGGTTACTGACTGAGGTATTTCACTGTTCACCATATTTACAGAGTAAACACAATTTGCTGTGATTTAATTGCAATAAACGGATCAAAAAGATGCTGAAATAACTACATAAGCTCAAGTTATTTAGTCGGGTCTGTCTGCAAGACCACAAGCAAATAACTTTTGAAATGTTTGTTTTCTGAATGGAGTTTGGTTGATCGGGGCTATGCTAACTTAGTTTGGAGAACAATGCAGACAGGATGTGTGGTCAGATAACAGTTCACTGAACAGATTCTGGGAGAAAACACCTTGTGATGTGATGACTGTCCATGTGTTTGATCAGATCCATCAGTTCATCATCACTTCATCAGAGTGGTCCTCCTGCTGCTGACTCTGCTGTTGGTGAACACTGCCCTCTGTTGCTGCTGTAAGGTACTGACACTGTCTGTTGTTTAGAGGACTGACTGAAATGAAGCACTCTGTCTGTTTATTGAACTGAAGAGGGGACTCATGCTGTCGTGTCTCTCCAGGCCTGCAGGGGGCAGAAGCCGGGCAGACAGGAGAACATTGAGCTGGATGATTATAACCTGGGTGTTCCTGCAGCTGGAGGAGGGCCGACTGAAGAGGAAGGAGCTCAGGGAGCAGAGTAGGTCCTCCAAGGAGCTCCTCTCACATCCACATGGATTTCACAGCTGACACACAGCCACCAGCTCAGTCAAGGATTTTACATTTTTATCCTCATGTTGGCTGGAATTATTATATCACATTATATTTTTATTACTCTGAGCATGAAAAGACCAAAACCAACCCTGTTTGTTCCTATTGAAGACGTAACTCTTTAAAAACACCTCACAAATATTGAAAGCAGAGATATTGAGCTCTCGGGCTGTAAAGATTTACACATTCAGAAATCAGTTTTAACGTTATAGATTCGACGACATCGGTACGCGGACCCCTGGATCGATCTGAATGTACCGTGAACCGGTCGATGGTCAGATTCTAAAGTTATGAAGACCCAGGCTGGTCGGGGATTTGGGAGTCATTTTGGAACAATGTTGGCCCAGTGATGTTATCTATTCAGTTAAAATCAAAGTGAAACACTGTCATATATCCTCTGAATCTGGTGTTACAATACTCGATCACATTTGGTGACGTTTGAACAACTGAATCCTGAGATAAGAGCAGAAACCTGTTCAGGACCACCTGCTGTTGGATCTGTAGATCTGGACCACATCCAGGGTTGGTGGAACAAATCTGCTGCGATTGGGAGAATCTGTTTAAAAAGATTACAGTGAATTAACAAAGTCATGTAGTTAGAGAACAGAGAACAATATTAAAGGTCAGAGGCTGTTTGACACCACTTTCATCCTGTTAATGAGATATGAACTTTATAACTTTACTTTAGCGCTCCCTTGTGGTTGACATGTGTTTTTTATTTTATCTTGTGAGCAAGATTTCGTCCTCCAGGACTTTGAAAATGTCATATTTGTATCGTAGATGGTTCGACAGCAGGACCACATTCAGCTCAAATCTGGGAAAAATAATCAGAATAATTCAAATGAGAGCAAAAATATGAGTTGTTAAAACTTATTTGGTCTTTAAATCGAGAACTTTCATCATTTTTATACAGTAATTAAGAATCTTACTTCATTTTGTTTCAGGATTTTACTTATTTTCAGAAAGATTTTGGTTATTTTTTCAACATTAAGGATTTTTGCTAATTTTAGTAATCAAGGATTTTGCTTATTTGAACTATTCAGTATTTTGATTCTTTTAGTAATTCAGGATTTTATTTTTTTTTCAATTAAGGATTTTGTATATTTCTTAAATTTTATTTTACACATGATTTTGCTTATTTTGTACCAGTGTTACTTAATTGTGTGATTAAGAATTTTGCTTACATTTATAATTAAGGATTTTTGCTCATTTTTTACAGTTACAGATTTGCTTATTTCTTACCAGTTCATCTTGATTCTATGTTGTATGAATTTAACCAACTTTTGTAGATAATGATTTTGCTTACTTTCGTAATTACAGATTTTGTTTATTTTGTATGAATTTTACTAAATGTTGTGATCAGGGATTTTGTTTATTTGGTACAAATGTAGTTTAAAGGTCCAGAGTGAAACATTGAGGAGGATCTATTGTCACAAATGGAATATAATATTCATCAGTATGTTTTCATCAGTGTTTAATCACACGAAAATAAGAATCGTTGTGCTTTTGTTACCTTAGAATGAGACGTTTTTATCTACAGAGGGAGCGGGTCCTCTTCTGGCGGAGTCCGCCATGCTCCTACGGTAGCCCAGAACGTACAAACCAAACACTGACTCTCGATAGGAGAGTTTGCATTTTTCCCAGCCAACGTAGGTTCCCCTACACACTTGGAAGGCGAGCTGTATTCAGTTGGTTGCATTCTCCAACTTCACCATTAGATGTCACTAAATCCCTTCACACTGGACCTTTAAGGATTTTGCTCATTTCATAAGAGTTTTACTGTGATTAAAGCTCGGGTAGATAACGTTAGACAAAGATCCACGTGAAAACATAAATCCCACCTGTTCCCTTCAGGCCTCCCTCCAAAACCACTCCCTGAAAACACATGAACACATAGTGGCCGACTGCTGCATCATTAACAATCATTTCATTCAGACTGAATCCAATCACTGGCTGAGCTCATTACAGCAGCCACAGAGACCAGATTGTCTCTCAGAGCATTTTATTGATTCATTGTTGTCGGGATGTAAAAAGAATTTCAACAAATACAACAAAAAGATTCCTCTGAAATACCTACCCTAGCTTTAAGGATGTTGGTTAGTTTTACAATTAAGAATTTTACTTATTTTGTTTGAATTTTGTTTGTGTTTGTTTATTTTACTTATTTCAGATCAGTTTTGTTTACGTTCATAATTAAGGATTTTGCTTATTTTTGCCTATTTTGTATGGAGGCCCTTAGGGGGACATGGGTTTAGTTTTGTGTCCCTGTGATAAATATTTGGAGTGTAAAAAAGCTCTTTAAAGTAAAACCCAAGGGTCATCGTTGTTTGGGAAATAAATCAAACCAAAGCTACGGAGAGTTTCACAGAGTTTCATTCTGACCTTGGACTCAAACATAAAGACATTACGTCAGAGTTCGAGTACTTTTTCCACCGAGAATATCTCCCTTTCACCAACAGTCCTCTTCGGCTGTCTTTCACTGATTTGAAAACCATGACTAGAACCAAGCACTGACGTAATGTCTCAGCTATGAGCCTCTCCATTGCTTTGGTTTGCTGCTTCCAGAAGTTATTTTTAACAAATATTTCTCTATGCAAAAGTGTTTTTTTCTCCCCCATGTCCCTTAAGGACCGCCGTAATTTTGTAACTAAGGATTTTGTTTATTTCATACAGATTTTGCTTAACCCCTCGTGACTAACGACTAAATACAGAAATGGCTGAATCTCAAAAACTATAAGGAGTTATATCAAATACTTGGTACCACTGGATTCAACTTCAGTTAAAGCTGCAGTCCGTGTACGTCGGGGAGTGCCGCGGCCGCATTATGAGCCAGTATATCACACGTAAATCAGATGAAGATTACTGTACAAAGCTTACTTCCTGTTTCCAGTAGGTGGCACTGTGACTATGACTGAATATTGGCAAGTAAATGTTTTCAGGCCAAGACTCTCATCAAACACATGAAATTTGAATATTGCAAAGAGCCCCGCAAAATTGCACATTAAATTCGAAATGGCCGACTTCCTGTTGGGTTTGGGGCATGGCTCCAAGAGGCTTTTTTGTACGTTTGGTCGTGATACATGTGCGTACCGATTTTAATGTATTCCGGTAACACGTGCCGCGGGGGGCTGCAGTTTAACGGGCGCTGTGGAGCCATTATATGAGATGGAATGACACGTACATTTTCACTACCGCCAACTTTTGTGCCACATTTCATAACTTCAGTTAAGACAAATAATAATTCCCTCAGCGGTCGCTGCTCGGGCCCCAATAATATGTACTTTGATCCAGAACCAATCTGATATTTAACAAATGAATGTTTAACTTATTCTTGTGATTTTTCAAAATAAAATGACCTTTTTCTACCTATTGGGTAAAATGAATATGTGAAATCAAACATTTGGATTTTGCTGTGTGCAGCCACATGTCTCCACAGTTTCCACTGCTGATTTTGTGTTTCCACCTCGAACAGAAAGAATTCTGTGGAGCTTTTCCTTAAAATATAGTCGTTAGTCGTTAGTCGGTTACGGATTCAGGTTATTTCATAGATGACTGTAATGCAGGGGTCTCAAACTCACACTGACTTGGGGCCACTGTTGGTATTGTTATCTCCGGGTCAACGTTCAAGTAAGAAAGTGTAATATTCTGAAACTGTTTCCATTACTACAAACAATGCAAACAGCAGTTTCTATACAGTTTTATATCATTCTTGTTGTTTGCAGTCAAATGAGCTTTTCCATTATTGTGTTTTTATTGTAATTGTATATGAAGGGGTAGTTTAAATTGATGTGAAATAACCGGAAAAAATATATTTTTTAAACTGATTACCTTATCGGTCAGATTATATTATAGTTTTGACATCATGTCTGGGGCCAGAGGGAGGGGGTGGAGGGCCAGAAATGGGCCCCGGGCCGGCAGTTTGAGACCCCTGCTGTAATGAATGTATCACCATCATCTACTATGTTAAAAAACATTAAAGCAGTTTAATAAACTTTTGCTTATTTCATATGAATTGTGCTCATTTTTATTGGATGAAGAAAATAAAAGCAGGTTAATAAAGTATGAAACTGTGAATGAGCTGATTTTAAGTGCTTCACTAGAATTTCTTGTGTTTTTCCTGTTAGTTGGGAATATGTTTGGTTTCTTTGTATTCGAGCGCTTTGCATTCACCAGAGAAGAAAACTTAAAAGCCTCGGTTATGACTCACTAGCTCGTTATTACCACACAGCCATTATTAGTCGGGACAAATTCTGCTTATTCTACAGCATTTTCTACCATTCTTGGAAACAACAGTAGTTCCATGTGCATCAAGCACTGTGCAACCTAACAGCATATCTTAATAAAAGAAGGACGTTAACATAACTTGAATTCAACCCAACTCAAAACTCAATTGTTGAATAACTCAACTGGTTTAAGGGAACTTTTTGTGCAGTATTTCAAGTATTGGTCACATAATTCCAGTTTGTTCCACTGACTCATTTTCTTTAAGTTGACTTTATATAAAACAAAAATGTAGTAAAGCTTAGTATTTTTACATTTTGTGATTTGACCATTTGGAGAATCAATTCATTGTAGATTTTGTATTGTACATCAGCTGTTTGGAGAGTTGCTGCATATGAGTGTAATATACTAAATTGTTCACAGTAAAGTTTGAATCAATCAGATTTCCATCAAATCAAAACCAGTTTTTGATTGTATTTTTAGTCATTTTTCCCTGCAACATCCAATAATCACTGGTGTTGAACACTGGCCTGCTTCTTGTTACATCTCACAGCCTTGATAAATACTCTATCTTCTGCATTAGGCCTGTAGGGTTCATCTGGAAACAACAGCAGTGAATACAATGATGTTGTTTTTAAGAACTCTTGGAAGCCATTGATTTAATTCAATTCAATTCAGTTCAATTTTATTTGTATAGCGCCAATTCATAACAGAAGTTATCTCAGGACACTTTTCAAATAGAGCAGGTCTAGACCGAACTCTTTATGACATTATTTACAGAGACCCAACAGTACCACCATGAGCAAGCACTTGGAGACAAGGGCAAGGAAACACTGCCTGTTAAAAGGCAGAAACCTAGGACAGATCCTCCGGCTCTAGGTGGGTGGTCGTCTGTCTCGACCAGTTGGGGTGAGAGAGAGGAGAGAGAGAGAGAGAGAGAGAGAGAGAGACAGACAGACAGACAGACAGACAGACAGACAGGTGCACAGCAACAACAGTAGCAACAACTACACTAATAGTAGTGACTGATGATGAACATGAAGAAGATGATGGCGATGACAACAACGATGGGGGACAATGAGCAGTGACAATAGTAATAATATTAGTGATATTGGCAATGGCAATCTAGCAGGACCATGGCAGGAGGCTCCACCAGGATCCATGAGAACCTGCGAGACGAGAAAGCACAAGAACTCCGGGGAAGAAGTGAAGTTAGTAACATGCATTAAAGGGACATGAATGAGTGCAGAAAGAGAGAGAAAGAGAGGAGCTCAGTGCACCATGGGAAATCCCCCGATAGTCTAGGCCTATAGCAGCATAACTAAGGGATGGTTCAGGACTCACCTGATCCAGCCCTAACTATAAGCTTTATCAAAGAGGAATGTCTTAAGCCTACTCTTGAATGTGGTGAGGGTGTCTGCCTCCTGAGCCACAACTGGAAGCTGGTTCCACAGGAGAGGAGCTTGGTAACTGAAGGCTCTGGCTCCTGTTCTACTTTTAGAGACTATAGGAACCACAAGTAGCCCAGCATTCAGAGAACGTAGTGTTCTAGAGGGGTAATAAGGTACTATGAGCTCTTTAAGATATGAAGGGGCCTGACCATGAAGAGCTTTATAGGTGAGGAGGAGGACTTTAAATTCTATTCTACATTTTACAGGGAGCCAATGCAGAGAAGCTAGTACAGGAGAGATGTGATCTCTTTTTCTAGTTCCTGTCAGTACTCGTGCTGCAGCGTTCTGAATTAATTGGAGCGTTTTAATGGACTTATTGGGGCAACCTGATAATAAAGAGTTGCAGTAATCCAGCCTTGAAGTAACAAATGCATGGATTAGTTTTTCTGCATCTGTCTGTGATAGTATGTGTCTAATTTTTCTAATATTACGTAAATGAAAGAAGGCGGTCCTAGAGGTCTGCTTTATGTGGGAGTTAAAAGACAAATCCTGATCAAAGATAACTCCAAGATTCCTGACAGTGGTGCTAGAGGCCAAGTTAATGCCATCTAGAGTGACTATATCTTTAGACAGTGAGTCTCTAAGGTTTTTGGGGCCAAGAACAAGAATTTCGTTTTTTTCTGAGTTTAACATCAGAAAATTGCAGCTCATCCAGGATTTTATGTCCTTAAGACATGTTTGTAATTTAGATAATTGATTAATTTCATCGGGCTTGATCGATAGATATAATATTATCACATTATCATATTATGACGTTATTATCATATTATTATGAGTGGTCGATGACCTCTACCACTCGTCCACCCGCTGAGAGTCGGTTGCTGTCTGAAGGTTCGTGGCCACAGGATCATTAACATTCATTGTCTATGTGAGCAATGCATTGTGGGTTAGAGAGATGAGAGGAGTAGAAGTTTAGTTCAGATGTTTCTATAGTCAACCTTTTCTATCAGTGAGTAAAGAATATATTTCACATTATATTCAATAACAGAACTCTACAGCTGCAGATGTTTGTGTGAAACCAGAGATATATAATATATAATATTGATCAGAGATTAACTTTCTGATCAATTCTCTGTATTTTATTATTATTAACAATTAAACAGACTTTTCTCTCAGCTCATCAGAGAGTGAAGCTCTGTTAATGAAACTTGTGTCCAGGTCTTGAAAGTTTACATCTTAAATAATAATCTAAACTTTAAAAATAACATTTTAATTCAGTTTTTTTTAACCTTAAAACCCTTAAAATGACCCCCAAGGTTGGTAACCACCAGTTTTTTGTACCTCTATTTTGATAGGACAGGTAAAGATAGACAGGAAAGGGCTGCAGGTTGGAATCGAACCGCTGCCAGGTGAGCGACCGTACACCTCAAGCATTTAATGTTACATTTCGGCATTCGCAGACTTCCGTAGAAAAGACAATTTTTGTTTTTCTCACTTTTATTTTCCATGAAAACAAACTCGTATCAGCAAATAATCGACTGCACGAGTCTTTAATGTAACAACGATGAAACATGAGAAGTTCATACAGGAGCTACAACCCAACAGACCTTCACAGTAATCATCTTCATCATCATCTTCATCATCAGGTAGATCTCAGGTGAACATCAGCACCATTACAAAATCAGAGAATATCAGGTAATTATTTACAAGTTCATATAAAAAATACACACTGTGAACACAAACAGAATAAATCCAGTCACTGGTTCGTAGTGGGGCTGAAACTGATCATACAGGAGGAAGAAAATACAGAATAATTTCAGATTTAATCCATGAAAAACATTTAATTTATTACACATCCTTTATAAAACATGTAATTTAGTCAGATTATACATTAATTTATCTTCATTAATATCTGGAGTTTGTTATTCTCCTCCTCCGGCGTCCCATCGCAGTGAGTTAGCGTTCGATTAGTTTTCCTACGCTGAAACCTCGAGTGCAACATCCAATCAGATCTGTTCGGATCAATTGATTATCAGTTTGATCCAATCGGGAATCATTGAACAGATTCAATCTTCACTAGAAACATTTAGACTCATTAGTTTTCCTGCAGCGTTCTTGTAGTTAAAACACACTGAGCAGTTAAATATATGAGATTTAAAGCATTAACATAACAGCTAACATTATATTCTCTATATACAGACACAGAGTCACATGGTGTCTCTCTCCCTCTGCCTGTGTTGTATCACATTCTCTCTGTGGTTTGTTTCCATAGCCGGTCTGCTCCGACTGAAACTGCTGTTTTTATCATCTACGTCGGTGAATTAAGGATTTATTTCCACCAAACCAGAGTTGGTGATTGTTGGAAACACTAACAGAGACGCTTTTAATGGTTATCTGCGAGGTAAAATAACCGGTTTTCTCAATGGAGTCTTAAATTTCATATATTTATAAAACCTTTAAATCCAACTCAGCCTTTAGTTGATAAGACTGTATTTCACCTGCAGGTGGCGTCACAGCAACAAGGAAACTGCTCAGTGTGTCACTAATATTCAGATCTGATTAAATATGAAATACAGTCTTTATACTTTACAGGAATAACTTGATAACTGTTTTTAGAAACCTCTAAGAAGTTTTTTTAAATGTCAAACATTTCGAGGCCCGTGGGAACTCTTCCCTCCAGTTTTTGGGTTGCTCGGATTAAATCTGATTGTTTTTCGCAGTTATCTTTCAGACCACACCTATAAGAAATCAATAAGGAACAACTACAGAGTTTCACTTTTAAAATACAATAAAAACATTTTCATATAATCTGGTGAGTGGGTTTAGGTTACCTGCCGTCTTTATAAAATCCCTGTATGTTAGATTAACTGTCACTTCTTCCTCACGTTGGAACGAACCTCCTCACATCAGACACATTATCTGAGCGACCTGCAGCGTGACATCATTAATACGGCGAGGTCTGAACCGCCGTTAAAAACACGGAGAACTCGAGAATGATCGTAGAAATGTTCAGTTCAAGTAAGAAAAGTAGAAAACACCAAAATTCAGTTAAGTGTGTTTTTGTTTCCCGTCGCAGCAGCAGCGTCGTCGCTCTGCAGAACTCACAGGTTCCGCTCCTCGCAGGGGGCGCCGGCGCTGGCGGTGTCCGGGCAGCGGCAGGTGAACCCACCGAGCCGCGGCAGACACAGGTGAGAGCAGCCGCCGTTGTTGGCGCAGTAGTTATAGGCTGACGGGAGAGAGGAGGGAACAAGGTTAGAATCTGTCAGGAAACCAACGTGAGCCTCAACAGGAAGTTCAATGAAGTTTATAAAGACGATTAAGATGTTAGCCTTCAGCGTGTTAGTGTGCTAACAAGTGCTAGCATGTTCCAGAGCTGCAACGGTCAGTGGAAGGAAAAATAATCTGCAGCTACTTTGATTAAATGTTGTTTTAAAGCAAAACTGTTAAATATTTGATGGTTCATGTTTCTTTTTTTACAGTAAATTTAATAATTTAGGTCACAGTGAATAAAAGTTTTACTCTCGTATATTATAACTGCGGTCTGATGCTTTATAAACCAAACTAGTGACTGCGATATCCCGAGACTCCCTTAAAGAAACTTTATGAACTCTGTGAAACGCAGACGACAGATTCTTAATTATTCGAGCCTTCTTGTGAACGCTAAACATTCATTTATTCGGCTGGAGGTCGAAGGGCGAGCAGGAGTCTCTGACATCAGAACAGTAACAGAAGAGGAAGTTTGAGGGTTATTTAGTTTCCACTGTGGAGCGTTTAGTTTAACAGCAGCTTCTAAACTCAGCCGGTTTCATCTGAAACGACCTCCTCTGTTCTCGGCGCCGTCGTCTGCATTCAATCTATTTGCCAAGTAAAACAGAAACAGTTTCGTGAGGCTGCGGCTTCAGGAAGTGGACGAGCAGTTCATCACTGGCGGTCGGAAAGCAGCAGGTGGACGCAGACGGCGGCGCAGTTCGGGGCTCGGAGCCAGATGTGAGTCTCCGTATCCACAGCTGGCTCCCCCGAGGTCACTTCACCGCAGAGTTCCCACGCTTATATCCGACCACATACCATAAAGCGTCTGGAATCAATTACCACACCGCATCTGCTCTCCCACTGCACCGCTCCGGGTCCTGGTCCTCGTACGCGGGGAACAGTCTGTGCTTTACATGTAGCTGCAGCTGTTGTCATGGCAACGGGTTACTGGAAGTTACTGGACAGCGTAGTGAAGTATACGACACTAACTGCCTGAAAACACCGCAGATATTCAGGAAAAGCTGCCGTTAAATCAGGAATTTTAGGCCGAAACAAAACCCCCAAAAACAGCTGGTGAACCCCGGAGGGCCAGCGAGGTCGAACCTTTCCCAGGCAGACGTCGTTAAATGTGACTGAATCAGACGTTCTCTGACTGCAGGTGAAACCGAGCCGTACCTTGCGGACACTGCGTGGGCGTCGTGGTGATGCCGTACAGCCGGGAGCGTTTCTGCGGCAGGAACTCTTCCGTCTCTTTCTCCGACTGACGGTCCACAGCGACCACCGCCTCCCTGGGAAAACAACAACCAGGAAACAGATCAGATACCACGTTTGACCGGAGGCGGCGCGGGGATGAATACAAATGAAACAAAATCTCATTTTCAGGTTTTAGCTGCACGTTGTCAAATAAAGTTTAAAAGGCTGCAGGTCCTCTGACGTCCACTAGAGGCAGCAGCAGTGAGTCTCCATAAGGCCTCATATTACATGTTTACAGCCTTTTGGTCTCTAGAGATAATTTCCCTGTTCTGTAACTGTACACCTGTTTAAATTATATTAAGGATTAAAGTTATGTATAATTAAGGGCGTGGCCGCTCTGAGTGACAGGTGGAGTCAGGACTACCAAGATGGCGTCCACACTGAGCTTCGGATCCTCAGAAACCGTTGATATTAAAAGAATTTAGCTTCTTTAAGTTTGTGTTTAACATAAAAAGCCGATTGTCTCAATGAAACTAATATGTGACACAAAAAGCTTTTTATTAAAAATATCTGTCTGTGACTTTTCTTGATTTATGATTATGACGTCATCATTTTCTTCTTTAATCATTATTTTGTTAATTAGTTGGAACATTTCTGTACAAACACAATAATAACGGTCGTCCACACACAGTCGGGTTCAGTGTTACCTCCTCCAGTCGGTGTAGTAAAGGTTCCTCCCAAAGGAGACCAGAGAGAACGGATACTGGATCCCTTCAACGATCTTCCTCCTCAGCCTGCGGTGAGGATCCATACACTCCACCTTACGAGTACCTGCCCATCAATCAATCAATCAATCAATCAATCAATCAATCAATCAATCCATCCCCAGCAGGATCAGCTCTGAATCTGGTTCCTGTCTCACCTGCGTCGGCCCAACACAGCTGCTGGTTGTCGAGGTCGAAGGTCAGACCGTTGGGAAGTCCCAGGTCGTCTTTCACCAGGACGATCCGATCCGTCCCGTCCATGTTGGACATCTCGATTTTAGGCCCGTCTCTGTTCCAGTCGGCCCAGTACAGCCGCCTGCAGCGCCGGGACAAAGAGCGGTTAGACTGAACTCGGGGCGGAGTTACGGAACAACGAAGGAGCCGACAGACGAGTTTCAAACTAAATAATAAAACTATATATGATATAAAATTTCCAGGTGATTAAACACTAATAAAAACAAACCTATAAATATTATATTAATGTTACACACTGGCCCTTTAATGTTCGTGTGGGGGGGGATCTTTAACGGACACTCACCCGTACGCCGGGTTGGTGACGATGGGTCGGGGGTTGATGAGGTCGGTGTCGAACAGGACTCGCCGCTGGCTGCCGTCCAGCTTGGAAACCTCCACTGTGTCGCGCATGGAGTCGGTCCAGAAGAGGAGACGAGCCACGTGGTCGATGGCGATGCCTTCAGGACTCTGGAGATCTGAGGAGGGACGGTTACAGACACTTAGCTGCAATGCTAACCAGCTAACAGATCCCATTATTCACAGTATTTAACACTGTGAGACTCTTCATCTGGGCCACTGTTGGTTTATAACTGTGTGAGCAGGCTTCCCTCTTCTTTACAGGAATAACAGAAACACAGGCTGTCTTGGTTCTGATGTTTATACTTAAACTTTTAGTGTGTGAGAGGGGAGTGAAAATGAAAACTACTAACAGACTGAAGTAGAAGTACACACAGAGGTTTTACATGTGGGTATCCGGCCATATATGGATGAGTTTGTGTCCTGAGTCAATGCAAACAGACTCCGAGTTTAATACCTGAATCTATTTATACAGAGAACAGACAGAAAGAGCAGATCGCTCTGAGACGTAAATACGTATATATATATATATATATATATATATATAAAATAAATCTGTTACTGACTCCAGGTGTCTTTTTTTAAGTTAATCAACCAAACTCCATTCAGAAAACAAGCATTTTAAAAGTTGTTTGCTCGTCGTGATGTTGTTATTTCAGCATCATTTTGATCCGTTTATTGACGTTAAATCACAGAAACATCTGGTTATTTTGGACTCACAACGCCGCAGTGACCAAGATTAAAGGATAAAAATTACAAATGAAGTAATGTTTGGTTAAATCTGTATACGTGGTGGAATAAACATGGATATATTTATCTGGAAATGAGCTGATTTATGACTCTTAAATAACTCTTCCTGTGCATGTGGACAGCTTTGGGCAACTTCTTCCTGCAGTGTGAACGCAGCGTTTTATATCTGGTTCAGATCTGTCTGGCAGTACGTCCTGGGTTCGTACCTGTAGTGATGACCGGGCTGATGTCTCCTCCGCTTATCCCGGCCCGGCTGATAGCGGGCCCGGTGATGTCGGTCCAGTAAACCATCTTCTCCACGCAGTCGTAGGCCACGGCGATCACCACCCGGTCCTGAGAGGAAGCACAGGAAGAGACAGACGCTTTCATTCATCTGGAGACGCTCTCAAAGAGTCTTTTGTGTGACGGGCCGTCAGCGGGGCGTCGGGCTGACGCAGAGCTTTATATTCAGCTGCAGTCCATTAACGCCGCCTCAGAACAGAAGAAAAGCGTTCTGATGCTGAAATCTGTTGAGGAACAATTCGAGGATTGTTCCAGGAACGCTCAGAAGGAGTTCGGACACATTCAACAATGACAGCGAGTGACCGCGTTCTGCACATACGAGGACCGAATGTCTCTTCTACAAGGAGTCTGTGTAACCAGTAACTCACAGAACCGTTTTATAATCTGAGTCTGGGGCTGGTTTACTCACAGCGGATCGAGATTTAATACCAGCTGTAAACATTAAAGGTTTTATCTTTCTGTTAAAAGCTGTTCAATCATTTAAAGTCGATGTGATGGATCGTCTGTCTGCAGTTCGAATCCCTCCAGGTTTTCACAGGCTGGTTTTTATTTAGATTGTTGATTTCACGACAGCTAAAATATTCCAATGTGAGTTGTGATGTTTAAACTGATTATGGTAAAAGACAGTTGTAATTTTTTGTATAATTTATTCATTAAAATTGCGAAAGAAAGTGCAAATTGCTAAAAAAGTTGCGATTTATTGGGGATAATTCATTGAAAGTCGAAAGCAACTCGTTCCAGTGAGAATAAAATCTGTGATCGGGCCAATGTGAGGAGAAGTTGTTAACTTCCTGGTTCCTGAATGAAGTGATCTGGTCTTACGGGGATGTGCAGCAGAGGTTTGGCCTCCTCCATTTTCATGTTGTACCCGTCCAGAGGAACGTGTTCGATCTTCCCGCTCTGAGCGAACAGCAGGTGTGTTCCCGGAGCGACGGGGTGGACGTCGGGCCGCGGTGTCGGACCCACCGGAGGAGGGGTCACCGCCTGGTCGATACCTGCGCAGGAGAGGAGAGTTTATTGGTCGGGAGTCCCTGAGAGTATAAAGGCAGGAGAGCGTCGTCAGTGAGCTCACACAGGGGGGTGCTGCCGGGGCCGGTGCGGGTGTTGGGGATCTCCTGGCCGTTGGCGTCCACACACCAGCACTGTCCGATGCTGGTGTGGCACTGCGTGGGCTCGTAGGCTCCGTGTTCGTTACACTGAGGGACGTACTGACCGACGGCCGGCCGAGGGCGGAGGAAAGAGAAGAAGCCCGAGCCGGAGGTGGCGGTGGCGGTCTGGGCGCTCTCTCTGTGGCGCTCGCACTGCGTCTTCTCTCGCTCTGGAAACACAAAATAACAAACGTCAGCAACATGAAGGCCTCAAACCTGGGAGCAGTGCGTGGTTAGCCTAGCTTAGCACAAAGACTGAAGGCAGGGGGAAACAGCTAGCCTGGTTCTGTCCAATGTTCAAACTACCAAAGCCAAAACTCTCCGTACTGTAAATACAGCCACGCTGGCAGCAACGATCATTACACAACAGAGAACCTTTTAGCAAGATACATGCTAATATTTGAACTCAACATCCTTAAAGGCGCAGTATGTGATTTCTGCCACTAGGGACTCTCTCACAGCAAAACAATAACAAAGGTTTGATGACACTGAAGCAGCGCGGGATCATGGGAGTTGTTGTCTTTATTGGTAACACTAGAGCAGCCAGTTTTCACCTGTTGCTTTAGAGTTTGTGTTTGTTTTACTCTAACAACGACACAATAAAGGAACACGTGGCGTTCTGGGAGGCCGTTGCAGCGACTGTAGGGGAGGTTCTACATTCCTGCTCCCATTACTAATACAAATATGATCTATCTATTGGTGTTTGTTGTACGTGGCAGCTGCAGATAAACGTGTGTGTGTGTCTGTGTGTGTGTGTGTGTGGGGAGAACCACAGATTAGAGACGAGCAGCGAGCCTCTTCATCTCCGCGGTCACATCCAGGGGCCGCAGTGACATCTGGAGGAGCCTCCTCGAACCCTTATCCTCAGGGGCATCAGCGAGACCAACCACAGAGCAGCCACAACAGACTGACAGACGGCGGCGAGTCTTCGCTGCCAGCGCCACGTCTGCTGCCGACAATCAGCCGAAGAAAGAGCAACCCCCCTGAGAGAGCGAGCCCGGGGGGGCGAGGATCAAAGACACAAAAGGAAGCTGCTCACAGTGAAGAGACGCCGTGACAAGTTTTGACAGGGGACAGAAAGATTACGGCTTTCGGAAGCCAGCAGGTCGTAAAAAGGACCAAAATATGACAAAACTCTGGCGCGGGGGAGCGAGCTGTAATTAGCTCTCAGATCCCGACACCTGGAATCACTGAGGGTGTCTGCAGCTTCTGGCACGCCGCCACTCCGCCAACACGACAACAACAACAACAACAACAGAGCAGACAGAGAAACTACACCTGCTGTCAGCCAATCAGACGACTGCGTGATAATGACACATCAGATCAGGAGGAAGAGGAATTCATTTTACTGTTAACAGCTGCTGGTGGAGAGCGACTGTCTCCATTTGTATTAGCATCTCAAATATATAAATAGAAATATATATATATTTATATACTAACTAGAAAACCTTTATCTCTCAGCTGTGCGTCACCAGGAGTCTAACAAGAGGTGTGTTTATGCTCTGATCACCGACATCCTTCACCGCTCCGCCGTCCCCTCTGAAACGTCCGCCACCCGCCACTAAACCCCCCCGGGCACCATCTTACTGGAGCTCTCGGTCCGTCAGAAGGACCACGCTGCTGCTTTTACGTGTTTAACGCTGCAGTTTACATTCCTGCTGCCCAAAGACTCCTCCAGCTCTCACACTGATCCCTTCACTCTCTCTGCTCTTCTCCAATTTAATGAAAACATGTGAATACATTCTTGTATTCGTACCAGCTGAAAATGATAAATATGCACATATAAACAGTCACACCAGAGACGTTCACTCTGGTTATGTGATACTTCATATTTATACAGAGAGTGGACAGAAAAGGAGATTGTTGGAGAAAAGGAAGAGAGAAAGTTGGAAAATATGTGTGTTATTTGATTTCAGCTGTTGGTTTTACTTTACTATGAATTAAGTTATCATAGTTCTGATCAACCAAACTCCATTCAGAAAAGAAGCATTTTAAAAGTTGTTTAAAAATCTTGCAGACAGAACGACAAAGTCTGAATTCAGCATCATTTTCATCTGTTTATTAACATTAAATAAATAAAGAAGTGTGCAGGATTCAGTGGTGAAGCTGCAGATTGCAACCGTTTGGTAACTGCCCTCCAAGCGTTTAGGCGAAAACTTCGGTGGGCGCAAAACTCATGAAAGCCGCTATCTAGAGCCAGTGTTTGTCCGTTCTGGGCTACCGTAGAAACATGGCGGACTCAGAGAGTGTGTGAGATACCTTACCTGAGGACGTAGGGCTGCAGCGGAAGCCGTCGCCGTGGAAACCAGGCTGGCACTGGCAGGTGTACGAGCCCTGGGTGTTGGAGCACACGGCGTCGCGGTGGCATCGTTCCTGCTGACACTCGTCTACGTCTGAACAGGAAGAAAAAGGAAGCAAAGATGAAGACGAATCCACTCCTCAGGTGCTTTAAAGACGCACTACCACGCATGGCCACTAGGTGCTGGTTCCAAAAAATGTCTCTGGTGGAGAGTGATAGTGATAATACGGCTGTTTGTGGTTAAACTAAAGGTCTATCTCTGTAGGGATCCTTTCCATAATGCTGTCAGACACTGACAATAATGCTAATAAGCACTCATCAACCAAACTCCATTCAGAAAACAAGCATTTTAAAAGTAGTTTGCTCATCCAACAAAGTATGAATAATAATAATAATAACGCTAAACCTTTCACAAATCTGCCTCATGATGTCGTTATTTCAGCTTCATTTTCTTCCGTTTGCTGCAGTTAAATCGCAGTGAGATCTGTATCACAGACTGTATCACAGACCGTATCACAGACCGTATCACAGACCGTATCACAGCCCGTATCACAGACCGTATCACAGACCGTATCACAGACCGTATCACAGACCGTATCACAGCCCGTATCACAGACCGTATCACAGACCGTATCACAGACCGTATCACAGCCCGTATCACAGACCGTATCACAGACCGTATCACAGACCGTATCACAGACTGTATCACAGCCCGTATCACAGCCCGTATCACAGACTGTATCACAGACTGTATCACCGACTGTATCACAGACTGTATCACAGACCGTATCACAGCCCGTATCACAGACTGTATCACAGCCCGTATCACAGACCTTATCACAGACCGTATCACAGACTGTATCACAGACTGTATCACAGACTGTATCACAGACTGTATCACAGACTGTATCACAGACCGTATCACAGACTGTATCACAGCCTGTATCACCGACTGTATCACAGACTGTATCACCGACTGTATCACAGACTGTATCACAGCCCGTATCACAGACTGTATCACCGACTGTATCACAGCCCGTATCACAGACTGTATCACCGACTGTATCACCGACTGTTTCACAGCCTGTATCACAGCCCGTATCACAGACTGTATCACAGCCCGTATCACAGCCCGTATCACAGACCGTATCACAGCCTGTATCACAGCCCGTATCAGACTCTGTTACAGTCCTCTCTCTACGTTGCAGCTGTTCAGACCCAGAGTGGGGGAGATGTATATATAAGAGATGAGCTGCACAGCTGTAAGGGAGGCCCCTTATGTTTCCTGTCCCCGGGGGCCTCGGGCCTGAATTACAGCATGTTACACTAAAGACAGTTCACATGGAAAACTCCCATAATGCTGCTGTTTGAATGTGAAATGTAGTTTGTCCACAATACAAACGTATTTCTGTTATATTGGTATCTAATAGTGTTCTCTTGTGATAAACAAGCCTGGTGACCTTCCTTTACTGGACTTTGTAAAGTAACAGACGCTTTTTTAAGGATTTTAACATGAAAATTATACTTATTTCTTCTGTAAAACACATCAGAAACATTATAGTTTGTATGGATCTTTCAGTGCTACCGCCACCGAGTGCCAACAGTCGCCACAGCCGGCGAACGGTGTGAACTCACCGCGACACCCCCGTCCGTTGCCCACAAACCCCGGCAGGCAGGAGCAGGCGTAGGCCGAGCCTCCGGTGTAGCTGCACAGAGCTCGTTCGGGACCGTCACAGTCGTGAGTTCCTCTCTGACAGTGATCCACCGGGCGGTCCTCCTCTGTAGGACGAGACAGACGACATGTTAGCGTTAGAAGATTTAACTAGATGACTATCAATGTAAATTAACTTGCTAGTGTTTTCTTATAGAGCAAAACCAGCCAGCTATGCTAACATTAGCTAACTTAAGATGTGACCAGTACTGTTAAGTTAAGATCACCTTTGTCAAGTCCAAGACAACTAAAACATGTATGTTAATAAAAACAATGAATTTGTGTCGCAGCTCGTACTTTAAGTTCTGTATTAATGAGTTAATGTAATTAATACATTGAGAGCAGACAGACGCTAACCAGGTGATAAAATACTGAAGATTTTCTCTAATAAAATCAAAATTCAAACAACACTTCAAGAAACAAATTGCCACTGAACAAAGTAACAAAAAGAGAAAAACTATTGTTCAAAAAATAAATTAATGGAAGGACATAGTTAATCTGAGTTTTGAAATCTCTTTATTTTGTTTGTGTATTTATTCATTTTAATGTTTATTAAATTTAAAAACAACATGTTGAAAAATGGAAATTACTTTAATTATTAGTTATATCCACATTTTAGACTCAGTGATCAGTTTAAGTTCAATGAGAAAAAACATGTATTTGGAAAAATGTCTGAAGATTTCTATTTAATGCTTTATTGTGTCACAATAATAAGTTTAATTATCTTCATTTGGGGGATTTTCCAATCAAATATTGATATATGTGATCGATTAAATCATCAATATTTCTGCCACCTTCTCACCAGCTCATCAATATTTCTCCAGATCGCCCGTTAGCCGGGTATACACACATTTACAGCCATCTTTTCCTTCTAAAGCTTTTACTTTTTCTTGGCACTTCAGGGCCTCTGTAAGTTTTAACTCAACAAAGAACAATCAGATTGAAAAATGGTACAAAACCTTTATTGTTTATGTCTGCTGGCGGCTGTTAGAACATCTGTATGTGCATCAGGGGACTCTTCAAACACACTCCGCCCACCCACACAGCTGTGCACACACACACACACACACACACACACACACATCAGACGTACCAATGCAGGTCTTTCCGTCGCTGGCGAACACAAAGCCTCTCGCGCACTCGCAGCGGAAAGTCCCGGGCTGATTGCTGCAGACGGCGTTGGACCCACAGACCTGAGGAGTCTCCCTGCACTCGTCAATATCTGCCAATAACACACCGACATAGAGATCAATGATCAATAGAGGAGACACACACACACACACACACACACACACACACACGTGAATATTTCCAACCTAGTTTCCTCCACAATCACAGAAATAAATCCAGGTTGTGTTTGTAGCTCTGGTACCGAAAAGTTCATATTCAACACGTTTTCCTTTGTGAGCGTGCAGAGGTTGCGTTACCGTGGCAATAGCGTCCATCTCCAGTGAAACCATTTGTACATTCGCAGGTGAACTGGAGGCCTTCGCCCGGCCTGCACGCAGCGTTGATGTCGCAGCCGTGTCTGCCGGTGAAACATGGATTCTGCTCCGGGACGCTGCCTGAGGGAACAGCTGCAGGTTAGAAACATCCAACCGGGACAGAGCGCGCTGCTCGAAGGCTGTAAACATGTTTATTTCTGCTATAACTAACTAGCTATAATAACTGAAAGGGTTTATTGATTATCTACAGGAGGGTAAAATTACTCAATAGAGTCGTCTTGTTCCCATGATGCAGCTGGAGTGGTTGGAGCTCCTCACAGGAAACACCAAACAGATGTTCCAGTTGTGTTTGCTTGTGTAACTCTTTTACCTTTAACCCCCCTTTTTATTTAAAAGTATTAAAGAAGTTCCTCCTGGTGCCCGTCCCCCGGCCCCCGGCCCCCTGTCCACCCCCCACCCCCCGGCCACCCGTCCCCCACCGCAGACTGGAGGTTGGTATATCGTTGGCCTCGGCCGGTGACCTTCACCCCCTGCCAACGCTCTCACAGCCTCTCTGATTGCAGCTGAGGAAATACAGCCGGGCTCACGTTACTGTTTATCTTCCTCTGATGTTCCACTGCAAACACCGCAGAGGCACTAAACCGTCGGAGGCGTGTTTCAGTGCATTCCTCGGGGTAATAACACACATCTTTGTACTCTGACTGTCCCCGACAGACGACCAGGAGACACGGACGTCTCCTCTTCAAGGACCTGAACAATCTGTGAACTCGCTCTTCAGGTAGCCGATCGCATACACAGCAAATATCAGACATTTCTTCACTGAATATAAGATAATATCTTGCTGTTAAGTATTGATTCTTATGGAAAAATTAGATTTATGGTCTCAGTCTCTAGTTTCAAAGACTTTTTCAGTATCAGGATACAAAATTGACTCTGAGGACTCACTGTGGACCGAGCCGATCCTGTTGCTCATGGCGTAGCGGACCAGATTGTTGTCGGCGTCGAACATCACAAAGATCTGGTCCACGCTGAGCTGCTGGGTGGACGGTGCCGGCCTGGTGGCCTCGTCGTGTGGGCAGCTCTGGAAGGTGACAGTCTGGCGCCACTGGTAGCTTCTGGTCTGGACGGCACCGTCAGGGGAGGTGACGGTGTAGTCGCGGTTGGAGGAGGAAGTGATGACTGAGAGGAGAAAAAGGAAACACTTTTACATCCAGTACGACTTTGAATTATTGGTTTGACCCCTTCGGTGTGTTAGTTGGTATCAGTCCTTACAGTTCCTGTCGTACTGGTAGATCTCCTTGTACGGGTTGATCTGCACCGAGGAGCCCTGCAGGATGGCGGGCAGACGTCCCTCCAGGTCGGTGCGAACCACCAGGTGGTCGTGTTCATCGATTCCTTCAAACCGCTGCTTGATGCTCAGACGCTCGTTGCCGGGCTGGAAGATCACCTCGGCCTGACGGGAAAACACGCCACCTGCATGGATGTATAACATCACACGGTCAACTAACATCTATCCAGATTGTTGTGAATATAGCCATTATATTTACAACAGCACACAACAATGTCCCCTCACCAGTAACACTGAAGCCGTTCTGGTAGCCGGGCTGCTCCAGGGCGAAGGCCCAGCCGATGACTCCTCCCAGGGAGGACAGTGGCTGCAGGGAGGGGCCCAGACTCTTGGGGATGTTGCTAATGGCCACGTAAGCCCGTCCGTCATTGGCTACCACGTACGAGTGCAAGTCGTTGTTACCGAGCTCCACGGGGAAAGTCGAGTTCCCGACAAACACTCGGCCGTTCACCTCCCCGCTCATTCTCTGTGGTTTCCCTGGAAAACAACAAAGTTCAGCAGTTCAACTAACGGATCAGAGCCGCATCAGGACCAACTCTTGCAGCTGGTTTCCCTCAATTAACAGAATATCTCATTGATTCTTTCTACAGAACCAAAACATGTGTCACCAAACTGGTGTCTCGCTAATCTACAGCTGACTGTTCCTATACCTAAAAGAAATGTTACGCTAAGCTGCGAGACAGAGAGCTAACGTTATGTGTAACAAGACTAGCTCGCTATCAGCCAATCGAGATTTTCACATTTTGTTTTTATTGGATTTATTTCAGCGCATTAATTCAGAATGCTTAACTGTTTCAGTGGAACTACTCAGTTGGAGTCCAACATCAGGTATTAATGGAAACCCAGCAGCCAATCAGAATCCAGTATTCACGCAGACCATAATATAAAACCAGTCAGTAGAATCTGGTTGTACAGAAACCCAGAAAATGTGGTGTTTTCTAGTCCATTCACATGAACTTAAGAACATGAACTTAAGAACATCTTCACCATTAACAGTTTCAGTAACGTTGATGATGATTCTCACCATCTGCGACACAGTCCTTCCCGTTGCCATAGAAACCAGGCCTACAATGGCAGCAGTACCCATCGCTGTAATCCCTGCAGTCAGCGAAGGCCGAGCACTTGTGGCTGTTGTGGGCACACGTCTCCAAATTGTACCTGAATACTGTGAAAACCACCCGAGAACGAGACAATCAGCGTCGAAAACTTTAACAAGAACTTTAACCCCAAAAAACGTTTGATTTACCATTCACGTCAAGGTTCTCGTCTTCATCTACCACAACGATCTGGGGTTGGTGGGGCCGGGAATAGGGTGGCACTGGTTGGACTGGTTCAGGGTTGGCGTAGCGTGGTTCGACTGGATTAGGATCAGGATACCTCGGCTGGACGGGAGGGTATCTGGGCTCAGGGGTTTCAGGGATGGTGTATCTCGGTTGCAGCGGCTCAGAGACGGGGTATCTGGGCTCAGATGGGTCCGGGTACCTTGGTTGAGCCCTCTCGGGGTTGGTGTATGTCGGTGTGACGATCTCAGATTCGGGGTATTCTTCTTCATAGTACGGTTCTTCAACTCCCGGTTTGGCTTCCCCCGGCGTGGCGGTCACAGCGTCTGGGTAGCTGGGTTGGTTCTCAGCAGGAGCCGGCGTCGGGAACTCCTCCTCCTCTTCGGGTCCCGCCTGGGGTTCGTGGGTTGAGAAGTCCATCGTCGTTTGCTCGTCGGGTTGCCTTGGCAACAGGGTCACAGGAGGTTCAGTGGTATTCTCCTCATCACGAAGGCTAGAGGCCATTCCCGGTGTAATGGAGGCAAAGAATGGCGAGGAGCCGATCTCGTACACCCAAACTCCAGCCTGTCCTGAGGTCGTCTTCCTGGTTGGATATAAGACAGAAGAAACATCAGAGTTTGGATGAAACTCCCAGCAGTTGTTGTTTAGCTGTGGAGCCGCTGAAGCTACGCACATTTTTAATGTATGACCATGAAAGAAAATGGTGGAAACAAAAAAGAACTATATAGTTGCTCGGCTAGTTAGCATTAGCTAGCTACCTAGCCATTTAACTACGTAGCTAAAGATTGATGTAGATTAGTTATATAGTTAGCTAGTAATGGTATATTTGATTCCAGATTCTGAACGGCTATAAGATCTTTCAAGGGAACAAACACTTGATATTAGCATAAAAACTTATTTTCCAATCACAGTTTTATCTGCGTCATTGTTTCTGTCACTCAACACAGTCAATGTGTCAAATTCAAATTATTATAAAGTTGTAAACATGTAAATCACAGCTGTAACAAATAAATCAGACTCATACTCAGTAAGGTCCCTGATGGACGTCTCCTCATCGGTGGTGGTGCGGAAGTACGTCCCCTGACTGGCGCTCCACGACCACCAGCTCTTTACGAGGCCTTCATTGAAGCCGGCCTCCAGGAGCTTAGCCTCGCCACCGACTGACGTGTAGAGGAACTGCAGGCCACCTATGGGGTAGAGAAGGATGGCGCAGGAGGACGACTCCATGGAGGCCACGACAAGCTGGAATGTGTTTCTCTGAAAGTACAAAAGGAGACCCTTCTAAGTCCCGTCCCCTTTTTGTTCCATGCTCCAATAGCAGGTAAAGTAATTCTTCATTGTGTTTGTTTGGTTGCTGACTCAGTGACAACTGTGGTGAGCAGCAGTGGTAATTACAATGTGGTCACTCAAGAACAAACATCAATCATCTTCTGCATTTCACAACTTTTCTTCCTCCCATCCAAGAACTTATAAGTAGGATAGTTCAAGTGTTTCATCTCCTCTTTGTTCCTGCCATAAGCCTGCAACTATCTGCTCCTTAAAAAACCCAACATGGTCGCTCACCTTAGCGTCCAGTTCGTCTCCCCGTCCTAAGGTCCCCTGGGCGACCATGTTCTCCCAGGTGACGACGAGGGCGCTGGTGGGCTCCACTCCGTCGTCTCTGGGGAAAGCTCGCTTGATGTGCTCGGCGGAGCGACTCAGTACGTCGGGGCTGCTGTCCTCCCTGAAGTAAACCCTCCCCTTTCCATCGCTGCTGTCCAGGTCTCCCAGCAGGGCTGCAATCATATTGAAACTGGAGGGCATCTTCCCCAGGTACTCATCCTCCGCCGGAGGGTCGGCGAAGGCCACAAATCCATTAGTGTTGATCTGGAACAGAAGGCAGACCAGGTTTATTTGTTAATGAGGGATCAAACAACATAAAGCATACCCTGCTTTATGGTCTGTTTTACTCTCAATGGGACCATCAGTTACTAAATGAACATCATGCTGTATGGAAGAAGACTGAAACTACAGACTGAGACCAGAAACTCATCAGGAAATTGTTTACTGAGCTCATAAATCAACTGAGAAGTTGACTCATTTCTCCATAAGACTGAATGGTATCAGTTTATATTGCAACCAGTGGAGCTGCCCCCTGCTGGCCGTTACATAGAAAGCAGGTTTAAGACAGACCCAGAAGATCTGTCCACTACTTATATTCAGTCAATGATTATTAATAATTATTAACTCAAAGCTGGATCTTTCTTTTCTTCCATAATGGAGGACTGATCCTGAAGGGAAGAATAAGAAGAAGAAGGCAGGAGAGGCTCTGCAGACCTCCAGTTATAGCTCCAGTAGGGATTCAGGTCCCGGACCCGCCTACAGCTCTGCTCGCTTTGTCTGCCCACAGGAATTCCACACAATGACTTCCCATTCACTCGGAAGAAAAGGATCCTTTTAACGTCATTAACTCAAATCCGCCTCGCACTGAACGGGAGCCTCGTTTACGAACTGAGACCACGAAGACTCAACTGGTCTCCACTCAGCTGATTGCCTCTTAACAATGAATACAGTCACTTGGTGAGGTTCTCTCAAGTTTCAGAGTCAGTAAGTCCGACTTCAGGGGGTGTTTCCAATTGAAATTTCCAACTGGGATACTCAGAAAGAAATTCCCATTCTTTAAGAACTCATTTTCCAGGATCTTTTCAGGACTTTTCCAGGGGTTTTCTTGACAATACAGGACAGCACTTGCTCACAAACAGTTAGGATATGATGTGACTGGAAAACAAGTCTCTAATTTACCAGGTTTCCCAGAATACCTGGGAATCCTGGGAATGCACCAATAGTTGGAGGACCGAGGGGTCAGTGGGGGCAAACAGCTAATTTCTGCCCCTAGTGGGCTAGTATAGTATTGTGTTTTTCTTTTCACAAACATGAAAGAAATTAGCACATTAGTTGTTTAGAAAACCTTTCAAAAGTTAGAAATTTAAATTTAAAAGAGGGAAAAATGTTGAATTGAACCCTGAATGTTCATATTAAGGTCATATTTTGAAAAACTGTTATTTCAGCCTACAAACTTTAACAAATAGTGATTCATAAATGTTTCTAATTCTAATAAAAAACGAGCCTGTTCAGCAGATCTGCGCACTTTCAAGACAACACAGGCTGCTCTGTTGTTAGCAACATGCTAATGGATTTAAAATGGCTGCTGGTACCTGTGATATCAGATTTCTCTGCACAGGTAGAAACTACATCTGCAGTGTGTTTGACAGATTGTCATTAATATCCCATCGGTGACGCTGAGCAGCAGACGGAGCGCCGTTATCTATTATTTATAAAAGGATTAGGGGACTGTGTTTCCCAGAGTTCAACTGGTATGACGATGGTTAATGTGTATCCGTGAACCAGGAGGCCTCTCAGTTCAAACAACCTTCATCATCACATGTAAACTGTTTCTACAATGGAGTTCACCCTCCCTAAGCCCTGCCCCTTTTTGCTCTGCGCTCCAATCACAGATGAGAAAGCCTCAACTTCCTGTACTTAGATATGCTTTATGCTAAGCTAATCTATGTTGGAAATACAACCACATTTTGAGATGTAAACGAGAGGTTCAACACTGCGTCAGTCTCTGCAGCAGCGACCTCCATCAGGAACCATCAGAAACACCCAGTCTGAGCTGGTACTGATGTTTGTTTCAGGCCTTAAACACATCAGCAGCTCCAGATATAAACTGTGTGTCTAACAGTCCTCCATCTTATCTCAGCATGTGAGAGAAAGCAGCTGCACAGAGACGTCCCTTCATACAGCTGAATCCTCCTCATCTTTCTCCTTCCTGTGGTTAGAACATGATGGAAGAGCTGAGACTGGAGATATATAAGGAGAAATAAATAGATATAGAGGCCAGAGGCAGATTGTTCCTCATTGAAAGGTCCGGTGTGAAACACTGAGGAGGATCTGTTAAATATAAATATTCATAGGAATGTTTTTATTAATGTTTAATCACCTGAAAATAAGAATCATTGTGTTTTTGTTACCTGAGAATGTTTTTATCTACAGAGGGAGCGGGTCTTCTTCTGGCGGAGTCCGCCATGTTTCTACGGTAGCCCAGAACAGACAAACCAGACCCTGCATCTAGATAGGGTCTTATGCGTTTTTTGTGAGTTTTGCAGCCACCGTAGTTTCTCATACACTCTTGGAGTTGGATGGTGAGGGCAGAGGTCACAAAGATGACAACTTTAGACATGATAAAGTCAAAGAGAAGGTCTATTCTGCAGCCAGCCACCAGGGGGAGATAGAGAGAGCTGTCATGGCGTCCATCTGTACATGTGGATGGATAACAGTTTAAATCTGTTCACTGTCAGAGCTCTGACCAGCAGCCGATGGAAAAAAACCCCAAAGAAAGTTGAAATAATTCAAACTGAGGGTGAGAACATAAACCGACTGAAGAGGAAATGACTCTACTGGAGCAGATCATAAATCTCTACCAGCAACCAGCAGCAGAGAGTCTCTGAGAGAAAGAAAGAAAATATCGGAGTTTGAGATGAAATAAGAGCCGAGGAGGAGCGCGGTGCCGCTCCGCTGCCTCTGTAAAGACCTGGAGGGTTTCAGCTCAGACTTCCTCCAGAGAAACGCATGACTGACGGCAGCATGTGGGTGAAAGGACGGACGCTCTGCGGCCTCAGCAGGTATCCGACTTCAGAGAGGACGCCCGCAGAGCCGAAGACACTCGAGCTTCATCACAGAGCAGACAGGAAGTCTTTTGTCTGAGTGGGACAAGCTAACAGCTAACAGCTAACAGCTAACAGCAAGAAAACCCCCAAATCAAAAATACACATTTTCCTGTTTCTGAGATTTCAACCTTCTCTCCAATATATAATGTTGTTTTGTTTTTGTTGTTTGAATTGTATTATTATTATTATCATTATATAAACTTATTCAGTAACTGTTTGCACTAATACTGTTTTCATTATTTCTATTATTATTCTACATTTTCCTTTTTTATTTATCTAATCTTTTTAAATTAACTAAACTTATAATAAACTTTAATTTTTTCGTAAATTATTTACACTTGTTTTTATTATAATATATATATATATATATATTCTTTTTTTTCTGTACCTCGTTTTATTTATTAACTTATTTATTACTATTTGCACTTTTCTGAAAAGTAACCAACAAAGAGTATAAAGAAAAAAGAAGTTGTGTCTCCATGTTGGACGTCTCTGCTGTATAACTGTCCTGTTAGTACAAGTAATAAACACACGTACAGTTTCACATCACGTGTCTTCATCAGTGGAAACTGACATCACACATGTCCGACCCCTGAGATCATCGTTATCTGTGTGAGAACAGCGGAGGGAGGAAACCCGCTGAGCTCCGACAGCTGGTTTCTGAGGACAGATGTATTGCATCTATACGTTCCAGATGTGCCAACTCCACGAGGAACGCTCGGCTTCCTGTCGAGGACTGAGCGTACCCGCGTCTGGAGCCGAGCCAGCAGGTTTCATTTCATAATCCAGAGTGTTTCCAAAAGCTCAGTGTCACTCTGAATGTGAGAGCACTGATAATGACTGAGCACACACCAACAGGGTGTCTCTCCTTTTGGGGGGGGTGAGGCAGAGACACTTAAAAGAGGGGGTGGGTTCGCTTTATGGACTCACAGCCACCCGTTAGAGCACAAACTCTTGCTGTTTGGACGAACACCAACAAACATATCCGGCTTTATTTTATATATAAGATATATATCATCTTCTCTAACTTTTTACACCTCAAAGAAATATTATACTACTATACTAAGTGCCGAAGTTATGACCGACGGCTTCTTAAAACCTGCAACATTTTTGTTTTAATCTGTTTTTATTCCTGAAAACATTCCTGAATAATCTCTGATTGGATTTGATTTTAAAGATTTAAAAACTTTTCTGTTTGGTTTCAATCTGTTTTCAGCTTTATTGTATTAATAGCTAGGACAGAAATGATAATGGTAATAACGGTAATGATTAACTGATTTATCCAACAACAAACTTCATTACATGTCTGCTCAGAATTAACCACCAGAGTCCAGAGACCTTCGCAATGTCCCGTTGACTTCCTGTCCTGACCCAGAGCTTGTTTGAACAGGAGGACAGAAAACAAATGGCAGAGTGACCGAAACAGTGTCGGTGTCAACGAGGTTCAGCAGCTCACAGATATTTACTATCTGATAATGATATTGATCCTGTATTGACAGTCAGACTGTGGACATATGACGGCCTTTAGCTCGTGTTTCTAGAGTTACGTGTTGTTACGAACACGTTAGGAATTGTTAAAATGTGATATTTCTTAAAGGGAGTTTGGTGCAGGGAGCTTTTAGTTGGATTTAAACTGCTGATATGGATCATTGTTAACGTTTATCTCCACTACAGAAACACTAGCTAACTGCTGAAGGCTGATCAGGTTGTCTGACGGTTAGTTTGATTGATGACTCCTGATGAAACGTAGTTTGGAGTCGGCCCGGTTGTGAAAGATCCTGCAGTGTTTGACCTCCTGTTGCTGATCACAGTGTGAAAACCACGATGACTTCAAGACTCCGGATTAAAGACAGAAAGTCATATAGTGTGAGCGAGGTATGAGGGGCCATGAGGGGCCACAGTGGCTTTGTTGTGGAGCCCCTATTGTCCCTCTTCATCTCCGTATGTGCCCCGCCACCTCCAGGTGAACACAGGGACCCACACTCTATGTACGTCAGCAGAATATGACCCAGAATAAACAGCAGAACCTTCTACAAACAGAAAAGAACCAAATCACCAATGCAGGACCCCCGTAGATACGCCTCCATACTACAAATCTACATTCAATCAAAGCACCTCTGGGGGCCCCTGGGGGCCTCTGGGGGCCGTTTCTGTAAACCAGGTTTACCAGTTGACACTCTTCCTCTTTGAAAACAAATAAAGCTGAAGTGATTTTTGTGCTGGAAACAGGAGCAGACGTGTTTCACACCGAGTGTAGACGCTGGATCTGGATTAGTGGTCACATGACCTGAGGAATGCATTCACAGTGTGTGTGTGTGTGTGTGTGTGTGTGTGTGTGTGTGTGTGTGTGTGTTGAAAGGCTTATCTGTGCTTTTAATTGACTCACATTCCAGCTGCTGTTCGCATATTCAGAGAGAACAACAACAAACCTGCAGCTCCACCTGTCTGTTCTCCAGAGGAACCGAGAACAACAACAACAACAACAACAACAACATGTTTATTACAAACTGCTCTTTCACACATACAACCAACCACACTGAGTAAATCTCCTCCGGCTGTAATAAACACTGAAGCAGCTTGTTGAGCTCAAATGAAACAACAATGAAACGTTTCCATCAGTTTCTTTTCTATCTTGTTTCCTTGTGAATGTGATAATGAGTTCGGTTGCTATACAAATAAAACTTTAAACTACAAAGTATTTACTCACTTTCTGTAGTGTACAAGAAGAAAGTTGAGAAAACTCATGTTTTAGAGTTGAATTGTTTCAGATGGCGATTTGTTTGTTTCTAAAACTTAAATTTCTTCACTGAAACCAACAACAGTAAAGTTATTAAACATCTCTCAGTAATCAGTAATAAACTTCTCTTCAACTATCCTGAGTTACATTCTGAGAGTAACTAAATACATTTACTCCATTACATCTGGCAGCTTTAGTTACGTTAACATATAAAGAGTTTATAAAATCTGATGTTTAGCTGTAAACTTTTCCTTTGATGGATTTAAACGTCTTTGTGATAACTTTGAGGTTTTAACTGTTAGTTCGTCACTTCTCTTCTCACTATTTTCACAAACCAATCAATCAATCAATCAATCAATCAATCAATGGATCCATAATGAAAATATACAACAGTAAAATCCTGCTTCCACATTAAAGCAACGAGAACAATCTGAAACCTGAAACTCTTTAACTACAGTTATAAATACTGTAACTCGTCCAGTGTAATTAGAGTACTCATACTGCAGTAAAGGCTCTGAACTCTTCCTCCTCCTCCTCTTCCTCCTCCTCCTCCTCCTCACACCAACACCTTCAACGTGTCACCACAAAATCACAACTCTAACCACCAGAGTCAGAACGCTGCTGATGTGGATCCCACACAGAGAGACAGGGAGGGCTTTTATTTTGTAAACAGAGTGTGTATGTGTGTGAGTGTGTGTGTGTGTGTGGGGGGGGGGAGGGATTAACAGCCAATAGAAATCCTTATCAGGTGTCAACAAACAAACAGAGTGAGGAGGCCGATCGGTAATCAATCACATCAATTAGGCGTCTGCTCGATATTTGCATAAGAAATAGTTGAAATAGTGAAAGAAGTGTAAGAATTGACCCTCCCTAAGCCCCGCCCCCCTTTACCTCTGAGCTCCAATCACAGTTGAGCAAACCTCGGCCAACTTCCTCCTCTCAGGTACTTAGATATGCTACATGCTAAGCTAATCCATGTTCAAAGATTTAAAAAAAGAGTAATCGCACATTCGCCATTATTAGCAAACGTTGGCTAACTGACATTTTAAAATCAATGAATTTAATCAGCTTTAACAGGTAACTGATTAAAACTCCTGATCAATAACAGTAGCACTCAGCTGTGATTGGAGCACAAAGCAAAAAGGGGCGGGGCCAAGAGAGGGTCACTCACTGGAGGAGGATGATGAAGATGATGAAGATTGAACAGAAAATCTTATCAGGTGTCATCACTCCAACAGAGCGGAGACAAAGTGATTGAAAGTGAAGATTGTCTCAAAAGAGAACTTAATAGATACATCAATCAATTCTGGATCAATAATCAGTGGTTCAATAAAATGTAAAGAAATCACTTCAGGTTGGGGAATGAAGAAGATCTCATCAGACTGCTTTATGAAAACATTTAATACCAAAGTCCCTTTAAAAAAACACTGATTTTAGAGTTTATACAGTAACTGATATTAGAGAGTTTTAGGTTCAATAATCAATAAATTATGTTTTATAACTGCTTCCTTATGTTAGTTAAGTACAACTAATAAAAATCTGATCAATTATTAAATTGATCAGGAAGCAGCAGAAAAAAATACATTTTAAAATGTGTTTTTGCCTCAATGAGTGAAATTGTGATAAAATAAAAACTAATGACGAACCTCATTTGAGTTTCAGTCATTTTAAGACTTTAAGATTTGTTTTATTTCTCAGATGCTGATTTATTTTTAATCTTATTTAATCAAGTTGGATTTTTACTCTTTTGTTTTCTTTCTTACGCCGATTCCTGATTCAACTTTAATGAATTAACCTCCTCATTAAATTTGTCCTGTTTCACAATAAAAACAATAAAAACCATCCGGATGTTAAACTCACGTAAACTTTATCGAAGGTCTGGCTGAAGAAGAACACGGATCCGTTGAGGGGCAGCTCGGCGGTGGAGTCCGACCCGGGCTGCAGCTGCTGGTCTCCGGCTTCTTCTCCGAACTTAAACAGCTCCTGGAGCTCCAGAGTCCGGCTCGGGACACTCAGGCTCAACAAGCACGACCAGAACCACCACCAGCTCCGGGACCCGGGACTCATCTTGTCTCTGCTCCACAGACGCGGTCGGACCAGCGGGGCCACCCAGCGGAGAAAGCCCGGGGAGGAGGTGAGGGCAGCGGGGCGACAGAGGAGCCGATACAGAGGCGCACAGCGGCGGAGTGAAGGAGCGGGAGAGGCGGGAGGGAGGGATGAATGGATGGAGGAGCAGCGGGAGCGACTACCTGGGGGGGATTTAATTAACAGCCACGGGACTTCCGGTCAACTCTTTTTCAAAATAAAGGTTAGACTGATGTAAAAGTTAGTTACAGTTTTTTTTCTCTATTTTATATCTCAAAGGAAATTTTAATTGTTTTATTTTATTGCTTCATGTTTTTGTTTTAAAGACCAACGGAAGCCAATTACTGCCAGAAAAATATATTAAAAATAAAAATAGCTTTTAATGTTTAGCTTTTAGTTTTTAGTGATTTAATATTTGATGTTGTTTTGCTGCTTTTATGTTTTTATGTAAAGTGTCTTTGAGTATTTAGAAAAGCGCTTATATATAAAATGTATTATTATTATTATTATTATTATTATTATTATTATTATTATTATTATTAATTAAAAAAAAGAGACGAGTTTAAAGATTAAAACTGTTCATGTTAAATCATAATTGTGAGATGAAAAGTTTAAATTATAAAATAAAAAGTTTAAATTGTGAAACAGAAAATAGAAATTATGAGATAAAACATCTATAACTATAATACTTACATGTAATTGCTGCATCTGCTGCTCTGTATTCAATAGCAAGGTCTCATTAATGGCCACAAGGTGGCACTATTGTCGGTAGAACTATATATCTATAGGAAGTATTACACATATGTGCAATGTGGCTTTATGGTTACAATCCAGTTCAGCACTGAAGAGTTATTGTGTGTTAAGTGCAGCGAACCACAGCGTTCAGCTTTTGGTTGTTAAATGTTTAAATGTTTGAGACGTCCTCAAGAAAGAAAACACGTCTCTCTCACTTATTTTTTTGTTCATCTTTATGATCTCTGACGGTTCCTGTTACTTACGTGTTCATACTAATGTTTAGATTATTTGGTAGTTAGTTATGAGGATAATTTATAGTAAAGTCCTTAATTACAAATTAGGTCAAATTCACATGAAAAGAGCAAAAAGATTCTTAATTACTGTATAAAATAATGAAAATTCTTGATTTCAAGACCAAATAAGTTTTAACAACTCATATTTTTGCTCCCATTTGAATTATTCTGATTATTTTTTCCCAGATTTGAGCTGAATGTGGTCCTGCTGTCGAACCATCTACGATACAAATATGACATTTTCAAAGTCCTGGAGGACGAAATCTTGCTCACAAGATAAATAAAAACCCATGTCAACCACAAGGGAGCGCTAAAGTAAAGTTATAAAGTTGATATCTCATTAACAGGATGAAAGTGGTGTCAAACAGCCTCTGACCTTTAATATTGTTCTCTCAGAATCAGAATCAGTTCTTCACTGTAATGGATCTGATCAAACACATGGACAGTCATCACATCACAAGGTGTTTTCTCCCAGAATCTGTTCAGTGAACTGTTATCTGACCACACATCCTGTCTGACTATAGAAAGGTCTTCAGTATCCCCGAGCCTGTTTTTATGCTCAGAGTCAGTGAGTCTTCTTATAAAATGAGCAGTGGTTACGGTGCTTATTAATCCTAAAGTGTCTCTCTTCATGGCACAAACTGTATTTGTGTTAACATTTCTGGAAAAACATTTTCTGCTTGTGGCCGGCAGGTATAATGCTAATTAATAATTCCCTTTATGTGTTACCATTGAGCTAACAGGCTAAGCGTTAGTTATTTATGTCGATGTAGATAAATATTTCATTTTAATTTTTTTTTTTTTTTTTTTTTTTTTTTTTATTTTAAAAATTTTTCGGGGAAAAAAAAAAGGAAAAATTCTTTTTTTTTATTTTTTTTTCCCTTCCCCTTTAAAAAAAACCCAAAAATAAAATAAATAAATAAAAGATATACAAAATCAGGAATTTAAAAATCCATTTAAAAAAAAGGTTAAAAAGAAAAAAAACAAAGAGTCCCGAACCCACCCCCAGGAAGCTAAACTCCAAACCATAATAATAATTTGTGTTGTCAGTTTATTGTTGACATGACGTGTATATGTACAGACATCACGATTATATTTATATATTTGTCTGAATTTGTGAAAATGTTTGTTGCTACTAAGGATGACATTCTGGGATGCAAATGAAGAAACTCAAATATGTTTCAATAAGAAAATACTTTATTTTTGAATGAACAAATATATCTTATTGATACACAATGAAGATCAGAACCCCCTGATGGAGTCCAGACACTGGTGGAGGTAAAGAACACCGAAGGTCTGGATATAACGAGGACTTCTGATGAGCTCAACCTGGGACCTGGATGTGATGAACCGGAGGTGAAAGTGGGCGGAGGAGCACAACAACAATTCCACCCTGAAATGACAGTTGAAAGCTTTAGAAGAGGTCAGATTTTAAGTCTGACAGCAGCAACCTGATTGGCTGAAAGAAGAATAGGCCACAACTTAGTGAATGTACAATGTTTATTTATCTCACAGAAAGAAAGAACAGACACTGGATGTTCATGTTGTTCACAAATTCTATTAGCTGGAGAATGATAAGTCGGAGGCACGTCAATATCTTCGATTCAATTCAATTCAATTCAATTCGATGTCGACATTTGTACGAGAGGACTTACAAGCGAGTGTTCAATTCAATTTAATTTATTGTCCTCCAAGGGGGAAATTCATGTTCACATCACTGCACCTGCAGGCAACAGACTCAGCGCGCCCATTTGTTTAAAGTAGCAACAGTTGTGGGGATCAGGCTTTTCCCATAGCGAGCTTTCTTGCACCTTGCAATCGTGTTGTGGTGAAGTATCGCACGTTTTCATTTTGAAAATGAAAACGTGCGAGACACACCTCTCCAACAATGACCCACCCCAGGTCCAGACGTTGAGCGTATGGTTCATTGTGGAGTCCATTGCTCTCTGACCTTGTGTACACTGAGAATGTCTCTGCCAAGGAGGATGAGGATTTATGCTTGTGGATCAATTTTAGGGATTTTACCTGCTACTGGCTTGAGATGGAGATAGTGAACAGCAACTTCAGGAGCTGGGATTTCCGCTCTATCATCAGGTATCATGTCACACTCGATGAGAGTGGGAAGAGAGAGCCGTGCCATGCCATCCAGGGACTCGATGATGAAGTTGTTTGCTCGTCTCCCTGTCACATCCATGACTCCTGAACATGTCTTTAAGGTAGATGGTTCTAAGTGACCATCATTACTGAAAAGGTTGAAAAAGTCTGTCTTTGCAAGTGAGCGGTTGCTTTGTTCATCAAGAACAGCGTACATTTTGACTGCCCTTTCTGACTGTCCATCAGGATACACTCTCACCAGACATATTTTAGAACATGATCTGTAGTCTGCTAAATTTCCAAATATTTCAGTACACTTTGATGTCACATCCATGGCTGTTGGCTCCTTTTGCTCCCCGCCATGATCTTCTGAAGCAGCAGAACCTTTCCACTTCAGAGAGAGAGGTTCTGGATGAAGTGATGTGGCATGTGTTTCACTTCCGCATTCTCTGCACTTTATTGGCACATTGCAGTCTTTAGCCATGTGGTTAATGGAAGAACAGCATCTAAAACAGATATGTTTGTCTTTCAGGAGAGATTTTCTTTCTTCTAGACTTTTACTTCTGAACAGACGACACTTCCTCAGTGGATGTGGTTTACAATGCAAAGGACACTGTTTATCAGGATCCATGCTGCTCTTGTCAGTGGGAGTATCTTGACTAGCTCCCCCTGGTGATGACACGTCCGTTTTCCTGACAGAGATTGGCAGCTGGTATTTCTGCTTTGGAGCTGCTGGTTTTTCTGTTCTCAGGCTGAAGGTTGTGACACAGGCAAAGCTAGGGTCATTGCGAATCTTGGCTTCCTCACTGATGAATGACATGGGTAGTTTACTGAACCCAGGAGCAGACACACAGACAAGATGGACGGTTTAAGGGTCTTTATTCCGCACACACACACTGGGGGGGATGAGGGGCGACCGCGGCAGGAACAGGCAGGTGAAATGGCAAGCGAGACCGGAGACACGGAGGCACAGGAGACTCACTCTGGGAATTGAACTGCACACGAGGGTTCCTGGAGCACAGGATAGAAATGGTTAGACAGGGGAGCTGGTGCAGGAGAATCACGGGTGGACATGTAGTGGAAAGCTAGACACTGAAAGGAGCCACGAAAGTTACCACTAAGTTGGCTGAAACAATCTGGCGATGAATGGGAGGAAAACCGGGTTCTTGAAGGCTGAGGCATGATGAATGATTGAGAGCAGGTGAGACAGCAGACAGCAGGTGAGGAGAATGGAGGCCGCACCCTCATCAGGCACACAGGGAAGGAGGAGGAGCAAAGGGAGCAGGAGGGGAGCAGAGCCATGACAGTACCCCCCTCATTGGACGCCTCCTGGCGGCCTACCGGGCTTGTCAGGATGGGATCGGTAGAAGTCCGAAAAAAGGGAGGAGTCCAGGATGAAGTGCCGGGGAACCCAAGAACGCTCCTCCGGCCCGTACCCTTCCCAATCCACCAGATACTGGAAACCCCGGCCCCGCCGTCGGACGTCCAGGATCTGGCGAACTGTGTAGGCAGGGTGGTCGTCGATGAGCCGGGGGGGCGGAGGGGGGTCGGCCGGAGGGCACAGAGGACTGGAGGAGACAGGCTTCAGGAGAGATACGTGAAACACAGGATGCACATGTAATGACAGAGGGAGTTTTAACCTCACCGCCACAGGATTTATGATTTTGTCCACTTCAAAAGGTCCAATAAATCGTGGAGCCAGCTTTCGAGACTCTACCTGCAATGGCAGGTCTCGAGAAGACAGCCATACCTTCTGACCAGGAGTGTAATCGGGGGCAGGGAGTCGGTGGCGGTCCGCCAGGCGTTGGTTTCGAGCCGCTGTCCGTAGCAGTGCGGCACGAGCCTCAGACCAAATCCGGCGGCAGCGGCGCAGGTGGTCCTGTACTGACGGGACCGCCACCTCCTCTTCCTGGGAGGGGAACAATGGAGGTTGAAAACCATAAGCCACCATGAACGGGGACATACCTGTGGCAGCGCAGGTGAGGGAGTTATGTGCATATTCAATCCATGGAAG